TTTGTAGTACAAAGTAGTACTGGAAAGTACTTTGTGCAAGCTATGTAGTAAAAAATGGTACTGGGAAGTACTTCGCGCAAGCTTTGCAATACAAAGTAGTACTGAGAAGCTTTGTAGTACAAAGTAGTGCTGGGACGTGTTTTGTGCAAGCCTTGTAGTACAAGTAGTGCCCGGGCAAGCCGGCGGCGGAAGTTTTAAAATTGAAACGCTTATATATAGCCTATGTAGAGCGGAACAAGGACTGTGCCTGTAGGTGACAGGCAAGCCTTCTGTGCTTCGCAGCAACAAGCTCTTGACTTGTCAATCTGATGCCATGCCATGTCTTTTGAATGTTGGATCTTTTCTCATTTCATCTGACCTCATCGCATCGCAGCTTCTTTTGGAAATTGCTCACTGCATCCCATTGTCACCGCAGTCTGTGTCATCCCATCTCATCTCAACTCATCTCATCTCACCTCTTGTCAGCATTTTTCACCTCATCACATCTCATCCCATCTCAAGTCTTCCATCCCTTGCTCAGCTCTTCTCGGCTGGTCTCAACTGTTCTCTTCTCTTCTCATGTCACCTGAGCTTTTCTCATCTCTTCTCATCTCACCTCAGCTTATCTCAGCTTTTCTCGAATTTTCACAGCTCTTCTCAACTCTTCTCAGCTCTCCACAGCTTATGTCAGCTCGTCTTCTGTCTTCTCATCTCTTCTCTCCTCTTCTCACATCGTCTAAGCTCTTCTCACATCTCCTCAGCTGATCTCAGCTCTTGTCAGCTCGTCTCACCTCATCTCAGCTCTGCTCAGCGCACTCTCAAATCATCTAGCTCTTCTCTGGCCCCAAATCTGCTCCAAACAAGAATCTCGGTGCCAAAGGAAGCGACCTTTGCGCTTTCCGCAGAGAAAATTTGACACAGAGAACCTTTACACACAGCAAGCTTTTGCACAGAGACGCTTGTACTCAAAGAAGCTTGTACACACTAAAACTTTACACAGGTACAGGGAAGCTTGTACACAGAGACAGGGAAGCTTTTACTCACAACAAGCTTTTACACAGAGCAAACTTTTACACACAGCAAGCTCTTACACACAGAAGCTTTTGCACACAGAAGCTTTTACACAGAGAAGCTTTTACACAGAGAAGCCCTCACACAGCGAAGATTTTACACACAACAAGCTTCCACGCACAGAAGCTTATACATACGTAGAGAAGCCTGTACACAGAGATGAGAAGCTTTTACGCGCAGCAAACTTTCACACAAAGAAGCCCCTACACAGAAAAGTTTGTACACAGAGAAGCTTTTACACACAGCAAGCTTTTACACGCAGAAGCTTTTACACAGCTTTTACACACAGCAAGCCTCCACACAGAGAAGCCCCTACTTCACACAGAGAAGACTTTACACACAGCAAGCTTTTACGGAGAGAAGCTTTTACAAACAGAAGCTTTTACACAAAGAAGCCTTTACACAGAGAAGCTTTTACACACAGAAGCTTTTACACACAGCAAACTTTTACACAGAGAAGCTTTTACACAGAAAAGTTACCCACACAGAAGCTTTGACACACAGCAGGCTTTCACACAGAGAAGCCCGTACACAGAGAAGCATTTACACAGATAAGCTTTTACAAACAGAAGCTTTTGCACACAGAAACCTTTACACACAGCAGGCTTTCACACAGAGAAGCTTTTACACAGAGAAGCCTTTACACAGAGAAGCTTTTGCACACGGAAGCTTTTACACACCGAAGATTTTACACAGAGAAGCTTTTACCCACACAAGCCTTTTCCCACAACGATGCCAGACATTGCAGCTCCAAAACCGGATCTCGGCGCCAAAGCAAACAAAAAAAAATGAAGCACTTTTTATCAGGAATTTTAAAAGGAAAATCATCAACGCAAATATTGAGAGAATCTGCTGACAAATCACTATTGCAGCCTTGATGCAGCCATTCCAATAGGATTTACGATGTCCCGCTGCGAAAGACAATAGTATTACGCACCAAGCAACCTTGATGCAGCCATTACAATGCAATCTGCAGAGACTGAGCTGCAAAACACAATAGAACTACGCGCAACAGCGTCAGAAATTGAAGCTCCAAAACCGGATCTCGGTGCCAAAGCAAAAAATTATGATTTTGAAGCATTTTTTAAACGGAATTTAGAAAAAACTGCTGACACATCACTATCGGCGCACGGCGCATACAACTTCTATAGATGAGAAAGGTCTTATATAGTCTTATAGTCTTATATTATAACCCTAAGGCAACTTCCGCCCGGCCTCGTGCGGGTACTATTGATATTTATAACATGACAATTTGACAATGACGAAAACGGGTATTGTGACGGTTCTTTTGACAGTCAAATATTGTGACGCTTGAATTGTGACAATCACGATGAGGACGGATGACGACGGATGAGGACGGATCAGGATGAGGATGAAGATAAAGTAAACATTAGCATTATTGCTGCAATTTCTGATTATGATCTGTGTCCGGAACACACATGTATTGACCTAGATTTCAGTCCTCAAGATTGGCAATCTAACAGCATGGACGTGCGACACATCAGAGGATCAGCATGGTTTCCAGGAATGACTGGGCCCATGAAATTAATGCTTCAAAGCAAGGATTCCAACGCTTTCCCACAAGGCTTTGGACATGCTTCACCTGCTCAATGGTCGGAAAGCGAGCATGGCAATGGGCCGCTGCCAAGAAAGAAGAGAGGCCTCCACCGAAGATGATCCCCAAACCTTATTTGCGGCGGATTGTTGCAGCTTGATTCATGTAACCTTCAATAAAGATGTGTTTTCAAACACCAAGAAGGTCAAGAAACCAGACAACAGTGCCGAACTCACGGTGCACCGAAAAAGCCCTGAACTCTGAATAGTTGAGTAAGAGTTGGCCCTCCGGAGCGGCGACGATTCATTGCGCATCGGGTCAAAGACTAGTCTGGTTTTATGAACTGCTGATAACTGCATATACCTGCACCACTGCACCATTCACTTTTATTCACCGATAAGCAATGTGGGCAAACTTGGACATAGCTCAATCAATGAAGATTGCCTGCTATTGTCGTGGGCAACATACAATAGCGCCTTTGCTCTGTGCATAGAAAATCAGAGCCCAACAATGCGATGGTCACACATCCGAGACAACCATGTATACATTGATTCAGTAAACAGCAAGAACAACAACAACAACAACAGCAGCATGTGGAATTGCCCTGCCATTTTTGGCTCTGAAAATCATACCTATCAATTCGGCAAATCGCCAACCAAGCGTTCTTCTCAGAGTCACACCGCGCTCAAAGACATGTCCATGCACAATCTGAACTATTTGTGTGGTATAAAAAAACTCCAAAAAGATTGACAACAATTTTGCTATTATTCAAGTCGGCTTTTACTTTCAATCTTTTTGGGCACTCCTGTGTGGAGCCGATTAAGCTTGAAGACTGCAATATCACGTCACTTAAGCATCATGTCTCTGAGTGCCGAAGGAAGGGGGGTGAATCTACCAGGTCAGCTGATTGAAGCAGGGAAAAAACATAGAAAAAACTGTTTACAGTGAATGAAATGGACTGAACTCATGATTTTCTGTGATCAGCTGACCTTGCAAATTCGAGACCTCTGCGTCCGCTGGTTGGTACGTTTGACGTTGTGTCCGCGGGCGGAAAGGGGTCAGGATTTAAGGTCTCGACGTCCATCACCAGTGAACATCAAAAAAGCTGTCTCATGGATGTTCATCTCCCCATTTTCTGGCCTGTTGGGTAACGACATCTCCCTACTTATCTAAAATTTTATTTGGGAGACTTCTTGAACATGGAATATCATTCTACCACAGTTCTTTATCAGCACCTGGGATGATCCTCCATGATTTTCACCTGGCGAAGGGTACAAGACCCTGCTCTAGTCCCTCGAGACGAGTGCATCAAAATCAGCGAAACTGGCTGCGACTTTTACTGCAGCGCAACTGCTGATGTTGACAGCGGCTTCGTGCACTGGCTTCCGTTCTGTGGAAATGTCCGGGTCATCTTGTGATACGTGACAATGAACGAAATGAAAAATTAAGAAACTGGGTGTGTCTGAAAGCGGGGTCTAACCCCCCAAATGGCAATTTTAAGAGGGGAAACTAGGTTTTAATCCATTGGGATCCTATTTCCAAGACAAACGACATTGAACACTAGCTCAGCTCAGTATGGCTTGCAGAAGCACAAGACTAGTACTATCCTATGCTCTCTATCCTCTGGGGTATCATCTGGGGTGCGATCAAAGAAGTCCATGTTTGGAATCCATTGCACGCTTACACTCAATGAAGATGCGCCAACGACAGTGAGAAAATTGCAACAGTTTGCATAGAAGTTTTGAACTGTGTGGAATTGAAGGAGAGTCCGTTTACCATATTTGATACTTCGAGAGTTAAGTTGTTTCAATTCTGTTTAGGACTAATTGCATATGGTTTGGTATGCTTCGGTCAAAATAGGTTCAAGTCGCACAGGGTGACACTTGGGTATCACCCTTTATGGATCAGAGTTCCTGGGCCTGTAAGTCCGAGCCACCCGCAAGATCGGCCGAAAAGTTCCATGCGCCAGACACCCGTCTGCTGTCCTGGCATGGCACGGGGGGATGGCAGAGCCACCACTTCGGGTTTCCTAAGGGAGCCAAAGTTATCACCGAATTTCTGGGGATTTTAAGATATCTTAAGTCATTCTTGTCATTTTGTATAATTAGAGACCAATGGTGATACGGGGGTACTCCTACTCTTGGAACGGCCCAGTGTGGGAAGATCTCTAAATCATTCTGGAAAAACCCCTCCACCTATTGATTGAGGATTTGGCCCCAGACTTTCCCAAGGAGCAAGATATGCTGACCTTGATCAAGCTTGTGGGCAACATCAGCTGGACAAAGTCAAACCAGTTGGAAACACTTTCAAAATGCCATGGTGGAAATCAGAAAACTGTTCTAGAATCTCCCAGCTGCGGCTTGCCCCGCCCCCCCTGAAAGGAGTGAGACCTGGTTCACATGGTTCCCCGTCTCGGCCGTGTTTTGCCATTGGCCTCCGCCGGCGGCAAGTTCCATGGGATGAATGGACCATGGTCATCTTGGTCATCCCCTCAGGGGAATCCAAACATCATGGCTATCATATGAATCCCATGAGAATGGATTGATGAACATTGATGAACATTGGATGACCATCCCGGCATGTATCATTATATAAACAAAAAATGTTGGTGCTGAAAAGGGGATACGCATGGTTATCCTATCGCTGGGAAAACAATGGCTGCCTTCTTGGGGTCGTTTGACCTTCAGTCCAGGTATGCACCCATTGGAATCCATTTCACATGTTCGCGTTTTTTCCCCGAACATGTAGACTGTCTGCAAAATATTGAAAAAATGAACCCCGTGACTCTCAAAGCCCCGGTTCACTTGAAACCAACCTCTGAAATTCTCACCACGTTTGATCTCTACTTTGCGGCTGCCTCCAGGCCAAATACTCCCTCAACCCAGAAGGAACAACTATACCAGCTGGCCATAGATGGCCTCTGCCACCATTTCAAGAGCAGACTGAAGAGTTTCGCTTTCCCCCATTTCAATGGCATGCTCTTCAATCACCAGCGAGGCACCTGCCATGACCCCACAATCCAATAAAAGTCAGATTGTAAGGGAAAACTTCGATCTTCAATGAAACAATCATGGAACAGCACGCAGCTGTACGTTGACTACCTAACCATGTGACAAGTTGCATGGGAAATACTTTAACTGAAGGAGAGAGGCTCCGGTGCAAACAATGCAAATCCAAAATCGTGTCGGCTGTGCTTCCGCTTCTTGGTCTTGCCTGCGGCAGAGTACTGAGTTGAAGGGATGGCATAAGGCTGAACCCGGTCCCTGAACATTCTTTTGGTGGGTTATGGTCGTTCATCCTATAATGGGAATCTTTATGTTTGGTATATAAATCCCCATTCGCCCCATCCTTGAGGGGGATGACCATTCCCCAATATATCCCAATTTGGGTACATAATCCAACTCTTGAAGGAATGCTGCGCGAGCAAAGTCGCAGCACAACGCCCCTTCCGGGTTAAGGGGTACGAGGTGCAAGACGGGGTGAACCCAACATGGCACGCACTCAGCTAACAACAATGTACTGGCCATAGGCCACAGAAATATCACACTAAGGATAGCAGTTGACAAACCACATCGCGCGGTTGCCCCTTGCCGAGTGAAATTAAAGGCCCAGATAACCCCACATGTCAACTTCTTCCAACAAGCAGCAAAAGAAAGGTAAAGATGGCATGGGGAAAGTAGGAAAGAGAAAAGAGATGGTGAAGGATTGGGGTGGAGTAAGTTGTGTGTGGAAGAGTAAGTGTGAGTAAGTTGTGTGTGAGGTGTGTGTGTGTGTACACCGTTATAACAAACGGTTTTAGTTCTGTCTTTTGCACTTGTACAATTCTTGAAAGCAGGGGGCAGAGGTGCCCATGTCACTTCCTCTGCCAACGAAGCTGGGTGACATGTGGTAAGGGTATAGGTCAGGGACGCCTGACCTACATACCTGCTATGGTTTAAACTGTTGACCTTCTGTTTCTGTTCATGAGCTGTACGTTGTTTCTTTGATCGCGATTCCGTGTCCGTTGCAACACTACTGCCAGGTAACCCAGGAAAGCAGGCGAAACCTATGACATCATTAAAACGTTCCACTCACCATTACCCCACAGTGTGTGTGTGTGTGTGTGCGTGTGTATGTGTGTGTGTGTGCGTGCGTGCAGAAGTTGTGACGGGGAAGGAAGGAAAGACAAAGGAGGTGGTGAAAAGGATCGAGAAGTAAAAACAGTTGTGTGGGAAAAGTTATGTATACGTCTGTATGTATGTCACCAAGTGCCACGCCTACCATAAGTGCCACGCCTGCAACGCAAAGTGAAGGTGTCACGGAGTGCCTTGCCTGCCACGCAAAGTGAAGATAGATGTCGCCAAGTGCCACGTCTGCCACACCAAAAGAACCGCGGCGCCCAGCGTCACACCTAAAACCAAGCGCGCCACCAAAGCCGGCTCAGTGCCATAAGTGCCACGCCTGCCACGCAAAGTGAAGGTAGATCTCGCTAAGTACCACGCCTGCCACGCAAAATGACGATTGATGTCACGGAGTGCGACACCTGCCATGCCAAAAGAGCCGCGGCGCCCAGCGTCACACCTAAAAACAACCACCCCACCAAAGCCGGCCCAGTGCCATAAGTGCCACGCCTGCCACGCAAAGTGAAGATAGATGTCGCCAAGTGCCACGCCTGCCATGCCAAAAAAGCCGCGGCGCCCAGCGTCACACCTAAAACCAAGCGCGCCACCAAAGCCGGCCCAGTGCCATAAGTGCCACGCCTGCCACCCAACGTGAAGATAGATGTCGCCAAGTGCCACGCCTGCCACGCCAAAAAAGCCGCGGCGCCCAGCGTCACACCTAAAACCAAGCGCGCCAAAAAAGCCGGCCCAGTGCCATAAGTGCCACGCCTGCCACACAAAGTGAAGATAGATATCGCCAGCCCAATGCCATAAGTGCCAAGCCTGGACAAGTTATGTGATGACAAGTCAAGTGGTGTGATGACAAGTCAAGTGGTGTGATGACAAGTTATGTAATGACAAGTTGTGTGAGGACATGTGTCAGGACAAGTTGTGTGAGGACATGTGTCAGGACCAGCTGTGTGTGTGGGGGCAAGTTGTGCGTGAGCAAGTGGTGTGAGGACAAGTTGTGTGTGGACAAGTTGTGTGTGTGGGGAAGTTGTGTGGGGAAGGTGTGTGAGGACATGTGTCAGGACAAGTTGTGTGAGAACATGTGTCAGGACAAGTTGTGTGCGAGCAAGTGGTGTGGTAACAAGTTGTGTGTGGACAAGCAGGGTGAGAACAAGTTGTGTGGGGGCGAGTTGTGCGTGGGCGCCCAGCGTCACACCTAAAACCAAGCGCGCCACCAAAGCCGGCCCAGTGCCATAAGTGCCACGCCTGCCACGCAAAGTGAAGATAGATGTCGCCAAGTGCCACGCCTGCCATGCCAAAAAAGCCGCGGCGCCCAGCGTCACACCTAAAACCAAGCGCGCCACCAAAGCCGGCCCAGTGCCATAAGTGCCACGCCTGCCACCCAACGTGAAGATAGATGTCGCCAAGTGCCACGCCTGCCACGCCAAAAAAGCCGCGGCGCCCAGCGTCACACCTAAAACCAAGCGCGCCAAAAAAGCCGGCCCAGTGCCATAAGTGCCACGCCTGCCACACAAAGTGAAGATAGATATCGCCAGCCCAATGCCATAAGTGCCAAGCCTGGACAAGTTATGTGATGACAAGTCAAGTGGTGTGATGACAAGTCAAGTGGTGTGATGACAAGTTATGTAATGACAAGTTGTGTGAGGACATGTGTCAGGACAAGTTGTGTGAGGACATGTGTCAGAACAAGTTGTGTGTGTGTGTGGGGGGGCAAGTTGTGCGTGAGCAAGTGGTGAGAGGACAAGTTGTGTGTGGACAAGTTGTGTGTGGGGAAGTTGTGTGGGGAAGGTGTGTGAGGAGGACATGTGTCAGGACAAGTTGTGTGCGAGCAAGTTGTGTGCGAGCAAGTTGTGTGATAACAAGTTGTGTGTGGACAAGTTGTGTGAGAACAAGTTGTGTGGGGGCAAGTTGTGCGTGAGCAAGTGGTGTGAGGACAAGTTGTGTGTGGGCAAATTTGGGAGGACAAGCGGCGGGCGGGAGGCGGCCGGAGGCGGCGGGATACAGAACCAAAAACAAGAACCCCACACAAAGGGGAAAAACTGTGGCATACAGAAACAGCAATGTGATCAGAGCTGCTTCGAAAATTACACATCTTGGAAGACTCTACAACGAGAACAAGTACAAGCGCAAGCGCAACTGCAAGCAAGAGAGAATTGGCAAGAAAGTAAGGGTTAATTAGCGCTTTGCCTGACAGTGGGGCACCGCAGGTCGAGGCATGTTGGCAGGATCGAAAAAAACAAATCTTCAAAACATCAGCGGATGGCAAGCCAGTGTTCACAAGCATGGGTCAAGACGTCTAATTGTTGCAACGTCGGAGGAGCAACCTTTGGCCACATGACACACACATGAGGGAAGATCAAAGGATCCTTGACCTACATGCCAATAGCAAAAGTCTCTCACGCTTTTGGGTTACAACAGCCAAGTCAAGAACCTTGGACCACGGGATGTCAAGTTCCAACTAGCAATCCAAACGTTGACAACATGCCAATGGTCATGCTGCAAGAGCCCTGACAGGTTTTCCAAGGCAGATGTCTTGCATCCAACGAGCGGCAACAAGGCAACTGCAAGCGGTGCCAAGGCTCCATCTCGACGACGAAAACCACGTGGAACAACAGCAGCTTTGGACCAAGGAGGACACGGAGGGGAACAAACTCCCACCTTGTACACAGTGTCTCCTGTCAAATGAGCCCAGGAGAACTCAAGCATGTCAGCCTGGACGACAAGCCTTGATGGGAGGGATCATCCTCATCCAAGTCAAGTATCCATCCCAAGTCAATCAACGTGGCACCAAACGTCCGATGATAAGCCAAGACACAACTGGCATCTAAGTAAAGAGCAACAGTCGTCTCAACAGGAAACTGCAAGCCATGCAAAAAGCGAGTGACATGACACCACCCAGAAAGCCTCCGCAAAACAGATCGATGGCATGTCTCAATCAGTTAGATCCAGACTGCTGCACTTTGGAGCTGGCATCACCCACACTCCATGTGAAGATCAAGGGTGTCAGTATAGATCAAGGCTTCCAAACAAATCACCAAAATGGAACCGGTAACCACTGACTGCATAGGACCACTGGTTCGGTGTCGCCCTCAGTCGATATCGGTCAGTCGTGTCGTGCAGACGTCTACCCATAGCCAAGCACAAGCCCCGGAAGTGATCGTTCACCAAGTACAGTAGTCTGATCCATCGACACGACCACTCAACACAACCTCCAAAGTTCTCATCGAAATCAACCTCAAGTCAGAAAGGACACAAGTTGTACAGTAATGACATGGGCAGATGGTCGGTGATGGGGAGACATACTTGAAGATCTGCTGCAGAGGATCGTGGGAAAACGACATGGCTCAATAGGAAAGGGGCCACCTCCCCCACCTCGCTGCGTGGAAGCCAATAGGCTATCCAACTCTTGACCATGGCACGTGCCACAACAAAACTCATTGGATTGTGACCAATTCACCACTTTCAGAAACAAAGGTGGAAATACATGCAAAAGACCCTAAAAATCACTGCAATGTAAGCCAACCAGAACAAAAGGAAAGAAAGATTGTGGTCCCTGGTGCCGCGCTTCGGATGAAGTTTCCAAACACGCTGCAGGAACCATACCTTTTAAGGAATGAAGAAACTATAGCAATCCAACCTGAATGTTTGTAATAGGACTACGCTGCAACTTCATCTAAGGTATGGGGCGCATGCTGCCAACTGAACACAGCTCTCGCCCAGTTTTGGGTGAAGCCGGATCATCATTTAAACGTCAAACTTGCTTACTAATTCAGATTTCAGCAACTCATTTGTTCTATTCATGATGATCTGGGATGCTCCTTCAGCACATTCTACACTGGTTCCTTAATAAACAAGTAAACAGGTGCCACGCTTGTGTTCTGCCTCTGCTTGTGGCACCAATAGGCGGGTCCCTAAGCTCTCCTGGAGAGACATCGGAGTGGCCAAAGTCTTCCCCCCCATTCAACATCTTCAACTTAGATTTGGAACATATTTCAACTCACATAGCCCACATTAATATCACTCACATATATAAGTCACATATAACTCACATAGCAACGATTTGGCGTCCACAATCTCCATGGACATCGATTCACCCAGCTCCAAATCGCTCCTGTTTCACAACCGGCGGCTGAGCCTTAGATATCAGGTCGTCAGTCCCGTTGATGGTTGAGGGTTGGTTGATCTGTTGAATCTGTTGCCCTATGTTTTCAGAAAACGTGGCAAGATCTGGGGTACCAACATATTTTTAAGATGATAAAAGCATAATAAAAAATATCTGGGGGAATACCGTAATACCTCATTTTCAGAGACATGCAGATGAACCCCCAAACATCACTTGTTTCGGACAGGAGAATCATGGTATAAGAACCACTGTTTCGGGTCCATGTAACATGTTTGCAAAGTTCAGAACGGGGAGAGTTGAACTGTGAGAGAATACTGGTATTTTTGCAATTTTGACCACCCATCTGGAGAAAATAGAGCAACATATAGTGGTTAAATGTGGTTAAGACATTGGTAGTGAAACATGTGTCCAAACGACAACCGCCATTTGCACCATCCCCAAACAAATCCCCAGTGGTTGATGGCTGCAAATGAGGTACATCGGCCTCGAGGGTATCCCGGTCTTCAAAACCAGACAAATGGAACTGGCCGGCGATGGCGCAATGATGGGCTGTAGCTGCTATAGCTACCACAGCTTTCATGAAAGCTTGATTCATTGATGGATGAAAATGGCTGAGATCTAGAATCTGTATAAAACCTACAGCCATGGTTGATGTCTTCATGCTACATCAATCCTAACTCATGGACACAAATCACCACCAAGAATCAGTGCACAGGTGAGGCTTGCCATAGCGGCAAAAACTATCTGAAAGGCCTGTTGTTGTGGTGGTGAACTTAACTATTACAATCAAACATGGTGATATTTAATGGGGATCTAATAAGGAAAACAGGCTGTTGATGTCAACCATCCCAAATATCATACCATAAATGGGTGGAAACATGTCCACAAAATGTAGGTTCATGTAGATTCACTATTGGGCTTCCCACATTAAGTGATTCGTCGTTGTTCATCAACCACAACGAATGGTTGCAGTATATACCCCTATTGACCCTGGGTGATACATCAACAACTTGCAGAGTCATGGGATTCATGGGATACCCATTCGGGGATCATTCCTTAGATCTCCAGCTGCCCACCTTCAAGTCGTATTCCTGGAAAATCACCGCGGGCCGCCAGGGGATGCTGAAGATGGTCAGATTCTATGCTGCCATCTGATTCCCTACCCTCTGGTAAACTAACATAACTATAGAAAATCACCATTTTTAATGGGAAAATCCACTATAAATGGCCATTTTCAATAGCTATGTTAAATTACCAGAGGGTAAATCCTCCATACAGAGTTGGTGAAATCGGCAGAAACCATGTTTTTTGATGAGTCAACAACACAAACCCCAGAGCACCGCTGCAATGTGTCCTCGTCTTCTAACAAGCCTGGTGCAGCACCCGTGTCACCAGCTCATACCAATCCGGTTTTGCACTCCAATCTTTTTTTCAGCAACCCAATATGAGTTTCTCTGAATTTCTGAATGTATAGACTCAACAAAATCCAATGGAGTAGTTAATACTCAGTTATATACTCATATATGCTCCAGTTATAGCCAGTTATAGCCATGAAAACCTCATATTTCCCTTATGTTTTAATGGCTATAACTGGCTATAACTGGCACTGTGGACAATCGCCTCCAGGACCATCCAGGGCAAAGTCCTGGCAAGATGGCGTCTGACGCGACGAGTTCTCACCGATGAATCTATGATTAAAACATGTGGGATAAAATATGGTCATATGGGAAAAATGGGTATGTTTCTTCAATAAAAAACACAATCATGATAAACATATCATGGACATTTTTTAATTCTATGATTCCAATAATACTAATAAAGGTTATGTATATATAAATATCATGATCATGTAATTTCCTTGATGTATGATCGGAATCTACTAAATGAATTGAGTTACTAAATGCCTAGGTCCCTACTCATGATCTTTCGCGATTCCTGTGGTTCACCTTGATGGTGAGCCATGTCAACACTTCTTTGGTCCAGGGGATGACCTTATTCCGCATCCAAAGAAATGTCAATAACCATATATAACATGTATAAATACATGTAATTATCTACATTCATATATAAAATCATATATATATATATTATATCATTATATATATAAATATATAATATATATATATTATAATATACATACCTCACTCATCTTCGTTTGAAGAAACAAATGTATATATATATATATGCATGTATACGTGTGTGTGTGCTGACATACATGTACATAATTGTAAATAATTCAATCTGAAACCATTTAAATACAATAGATGCCAAGCACCTCTTCATCTCTAAAGATTGGTCAATTACCATTCATATCTATCTATTGAGTATGCATTGGTATTCCAATATATATATATATATACATATATATATATATGTGTAAATCAAACATTGATCATCAACTATATCGTCTATATGCATAATATATATATATATATATAAAACACACCGATGCATAGAATTGAAATTATAGAATCCTCTTTATATTATATACATGTAACCTGATTTAGGTATGAATATCAATCTTATATTAACATATAACATAAGTTATTACATCAAACACTTATAAATCAATATATATATATATATAAATAATATAAACCAGTAAATATATATATATATATATACATAGTTTTACACACATACATATATATATTATATCTATATATATATATGTAACTTATGTAATAACATCATCCTCCCCCTGGTCACACCTCGCCATCCAGGCCATCCAAAGAGAAGGCCTCACGGGCAAAGCACTAGCTCATTTTGGCTCCAAAAAAGGCGGAGGGAGGTTTCATTTGGGATTTATATCGGTTTATATCGGTTTAAATGGATTTAAACCGATCTAATTATGCATTTATTTGGGATTTACCGTCAAGAAAATTAACATAGACCTCGAAAATGGTGATTTGTTACCAAGGTCCAGTTTAATTTGGCAGGGTCTACTTTAATTTCCTGGGTATAGTGAAAATGTGCTGATTTATCCGGGTTTTGCTTCAGATTTATACTGCGTAATTATACTGAATTACATATTTTGGGTCAGCGGCTTTGTAATCCCAACAGCTTTGAATAGTTTGACCCGCCGCAAGAAAGATCTGGATGATTTTGGAGTATGGACCCACCAGTGGTGATACAATGGGTGGATATTCCATAACACATGATATTTGAATTGGTCTCGAAAGGGGACACGAGGTATGAAGATGAACCAGAGGAAGAAATGGGTTCCAATTTTCTGAGACATACCCACTTCATCAATAATGAACGTTTCCCGGCGCCCGACTGGGGAGATAAAGGTTGCCATGGAATTCACACCAAGTAGGGGACGGAAAAATAACTCCACTTCGTGGATATATGGTATATGGAATGTGACATGATGTTTCAATATGTTTCAATGTCTAACCATGGCAAAAACAACACATGCCAAAAAAAATGATGGTCGTAAAAATAATTCAGGATCTTCTTTATTTAGTGTGCGTCTGGATGTAAAATGATATCGAACATTATTGAACCACCCAACATGGAGATATATCAAGCAAATCTGCCGCCCTTGAGTCACCTCTTCTTCAAGGGCTTGCACATGCTTCAGCATTTTCTCCTGGTGAGACCCATGATTTCGCTCCAATCAGACCAAATCTATTGTGTTTCTTCTTAAAGTAGTTAAAACAAGCTCTTCGCTAGGATCATAATAATTATATATATATCACAAAAAAACATTAAAACGATATGAATGACAAACTATATATCCACATTAATGTGTCTCTTCATATTTGAACTACAACTATATATATATATATAATATATATATACATATCACATGATAACACCATATACACCATATACACCATATATCCTAACCCACATACTGCTTGGGATGTCCACACCACTCCCCGAAGCCGTCCCCTCCGCCGTCCTTTTGTGCATCATCGCATGGCCAAAGAGGCGAACCTGTTTGCAAGTTTTATGTGGTTAGTATATGGTTAGTAACTTTGATTAGCATATGATTAGCTTATAATACACACATATATGGTTACATATAGTGCTTATATATAATATATATATGTATATATATATATATATGGGATAACCTGACTAACCAACTGTATATGATTAGTAATGATTAGTATAAGATTAGCTCTCCCAGTTTTTGGATAGACAATATTTATGGGTCATTCCCTTCACAATCGCGGTCGAAAAAAAATCTGTCGACATGCGCTGACTTGGTGACTCGCTGGGTACATGGGAAGCTCCAAAGAATTGCTGGTTGGTGGTTGAGCCACCCCTCTGAATAATATGAGTTCGTCAATGGGAAGGATTATTCCATATTATTCCCAACATTTCCCAACTGAATGGAAAGTCATAAAATTAATGTTCCAAACCAACCAGATTGCCATGCTGTCAGTGTTCCCAGTGTTCCATGTTTCTGTTTTCTGGAAGCCATAGAAACATGGAGTTATCCCTCTGTCATGGACGCCCTATGCCACGTCATCTGGTCATCTGGCACCCTGCCTGGAGGCGATGGTCTAATCACTGGAGATTTTGGCGGTTCGTACTTTTTCCTGCGAGAAAAACCCACCCGTGGCCAGGGCCCAAACGGGTGACTTTGGGATGGGGGTAAAAGCGAGTAAAAGCGACCGTCTTGGTCAACCCATTACAATCCCCAATCTAGTTGAGGTAGGAAAAACCATCATCTCCAATATCAACGGTGGATTTTGGTCGTTTTTGACTCCAAAAACCACATGAACATCATGAACCGACCTTAGTTTCCATATCTTTCAAAGGAAACTAAGCCCGAGAATTCATGATATCCCATCAAACTGGCTTTTTGACCTGATATATCCATGGACTCCATCTCCCATGAGCTATAGCCGCTATAGCCAAGCATTCCTCGCACTCGCAGTTGGCCAGGAAGATGCGAGCACACCGTCATTGAAAGTCACGGTGGACGCCGGATCCATTTTGTCCAACTGGGGCGGCACCGGTTTCATCGGCGGTGTCGGTTGGGTGTCGGTTTCCATCACCCAGGGGAAGCATCGGAAAATATCGGATGCCTCCAGCTGGTGGAAACAATGAGTCTATTCCGGCTGTGAAAATGTATAAGAAGTACAACCCGTTTTCGCATAACATCTTCCCAAAGAAATTTTACTTGGCATGTGAGCTCACAATATCTATATCACCTAGTACAGCGCGCCAACGAAGGATGAATATTGCCCATGTTCTGATTTTTTTTCACCATCCTAGCCAGGTCCCTACCAAACCTCACACTCGACAGTCAACAGTACAAGGACTGTATCATGCAACGTAGAGATTTTCACAACTCATCCCGATCCTCGTCTGGGAAGTGGTCTACTTCTAATTGTATCGTTGAAAGTTAGAAGAGGGAAACTCATGCTTTGTGTCTGGGATCAAAGGACTCTCAAGAAAAAAAAGACACTACTGAGCATCGACCAAATCAACAACATAATCCAAAAGATTCCAAATCGATCCAAAACATATCCAAGACATATCCAAGACATCCCAAAACATTCAAAAACCATATCCCAGACTCATCTGATCTACCAAGCCACAGAGCCCAGGGCTGCCAAGACATCGGATTTCACACCACCCTGACGAAGAAATGGCATGGCGGCATGGTATGGGATGAAGCTTCCAACATGTAGAGAGTTGATGCAAAATATGTCTAGACTCAGAGCAAAAAAACACACAACATCAACTAAAAATCTACAGTAAGAGCCATTGAAAAACGCGCAAGTCTCTTGGGTGTGGGTTGATGTTTGTAAAGCACTGCCCACGTGTTGAGTCAGAAAAAAACACATGGACTACAGCAACATCTCATGCGATTTCGACGAGTGCAGCTGAGTTCTTTGGACGATCCAGGCAGGTCGAAGCAATGACTGTCCATGTTGGACTGTCAAAGAGCGACTTCGGCAAAGATCACATACTGGCTGCAGTTCATCGCAGTCAAATTTCACCAAACCAATCTGCAGAAATCAGAAACATATTGCAGGACAGCTGTCCAGGTACACACAGGTGCACCCTCACCGCTCTAAATCTTCTGCTCCGTGACGATAGCCACGACCTTCCACGTATAGCAGGCACGCATGGTAGCATTCATGCAATGATTTGGGAACAAGGATCAAAGGCCGAAAAGCAAGGATGATATCCTCTAATGGATTTTTAAGGATTTTCCTATTGGAGAATCTAGTAAACAATTTCAGAATCTGAACATGTGAGTTTGTTTGAAATAGGGTGCCCTAAAATCGTCTAATTATCCCTATTGACATTACAACTTGCGGGTATACCGTACCCCATTAAACGTCACATTGTTGGGCATCCCATTCTATATTCCCCCTTATGGTTGTTTCTAGACCCGCATTTTTCTTGGTTTGATGCTCCTGGTGGTCAAATCGACCTGATTTCCCATGCAATTTCCCGACCTGAAATTTCGACCCATAGCCATATGGTTGGCGTTTTTGCCGCTTCAACCATCCTGTTCGTTAATGATCTGTGAATCAAATCCCTACTGTATCTTGCTTCAATCCACATTTGCTCTGGATTCAACCATATTCAACCCATCCTCCATTAAATCGAGATCTGTTGCTGATTAAATCCCCATTTTCATCGGCTAGATTTCTAGATTCTCATTCTTGGCGCGTTATTTCCCATATTTGATCGTTATTTCCCCATCTTCCTAGTGATATACCGGTGATATTCACATTCTCGTAGGCTAAATCCCAATCTTTGTTGACTAAATCCTACTTTTCACATGGTTTTTCTGGGTTAAATCAGTTAAATCCCGAATGTTCACAACTTTTTGTTGAGTGAATTTCCACTTTCACGATCTTTCACAACTTTTTGGATCAACTCCCCCACTTTTTTGGGCGAAATAAAGCGGTAAACTTCGGCCGCGGCACCTCGGAAGGCCTGTCGCCTTGCACGTTCCAAGGCGGCTTCCTGGGCACCTCAGCTACAATCTATGGCTCCATATAGACCAACAATAATGAGCATCTATTCATTTCAAAAAACATATATATATATACAATGCTTCCATATATATTAATATATATGTTTGTGTTTCTATATATATATATAATTATATAATATAATATATAATTATGCATGTATATATGTATATAAGTATATTAGTATGGCTGTATACAGCAAATATTTATAATTGTACAATACTTCTTTTGTAGATAGAATGAGATAATATGTCGATAGATAATGTGGTTAGTAATCCACCAAGTGTGGAAAATCATGGAAAAACACTATGTAAGGATCTGTGATGCTATTCTCGTGCGTTTGCCTGAAAATCGGCCCAGCAAAATCCCGATTTGAATATCCAAATCAAAATGTATTTAAAAATATTTAAAACACATATATTATGGATATCCATATATCATCATATATCCCAGTATATACATACACATATAAACATATTGTATAATTATATATATATGTGTGTTTCTATATATTAATAAATATATTTGTGTTTCTATCTAAATATAATTATATAATATAATATATAATTATATATATGTACGTATATTAGTATGGCTGTATACAGCAAATATTTATAATTGTACAATACTTCTTTTGTAGATAGAATGAGATAATATGTCGATAGATAATGTGGTTAGCAATCCACCAAGTGTGGAAAATCACTATGTAAGGATCTGTGATGCTATTCGTACTTTCTTGATGTGTGTCCTGATTTCTGCTCTATTTTCCTACCTGGTGCTCACATATACCTACCGTGCGTTTGCCTGAAAATCGGCCCAGCAAAATCCCGATTTGAATATTTAAACGTATTTAAAACACATATATTGATATCCATATATCATCATATATCCCAGTATATATACATATATATATATATATATATATCCCCGATTTGAATATCCATGAAAACATGCGGTATTTAAAACACATGTTGAGGCTAATCCCGTTCCAATTTAACCCAATGACCTGGTGAGTCTTCACCAAGGGGCGGAAATCACCGTCAACGGTGGGCTTTGCACCTCGAGTGATCCAAAACTGCCCAAAACGGGGGGTGCGATAGTGAAAACGACCTTAGAGCTTAAACAATACTAAAAACAAAGCCCAACTTCTATCATGTCCTAAAACTGTAGGCTTCATTTTAAACAATCCATTGATGTTTTTGGGCATGGCCCGCCTGAGCGGCCAGTGAAGTTCCAGGTCCGATTGACCTGGCAACGGAGAATCTGAGCTGATTTTTCTTGGGAATTCTGAGGAATAAACTATGAAATATCTATGGAATATCTAAAAACAAATGATGACAGAAAATATGTGGGATAATCTAACAACCAATCATGCCATAAACTGGGTGAATCCACACTGTTTATTGATTTATAACAACCTAAACTCTAGGATCTCAGTGTTTCGGATCGGGTTTCCAATCAATAATCAAGAATAATTGGGTCTCTACGAAACGAACTGTTATTTGGAACATTGGAGGGCTGAATGGGAGACTCATTTGATGGTTGCTCTATGTTGCTCTTCTGCGTCCCACAACAAAGGAAAGCCCCTCCTGTCTGCCCTCAAGCACCAAGTATTTTGGTTTGAGGTTCCACAAGTCTGATACGAAGTTGACAAGCATTAAGTCTGATTAAGTCTCCACAAACTATAACCATATTTATATACACACCCATATATGCACCCCTTGTTCATGATATCGCTGCATAGAACATCAACCATAGGCCATAGAAAATACCTTGGTTTACCCATAGGAAAAATCAACCACAAAGCCATCGAGCCATGCAAGGCCTTCTGTCGTGCTGCAAGGCGTCGCTGTCTCGCAGCATCTTCATCCTGAGGATTTCAATCAACCATGGGATCCTAGGGTTTAATAGCTGATATTATATGATATAAGATGATATAAGTATGATATAAGTATGATATAAATATGATATAAGCAACAAGACCATGGGATTTGAGGGTTTAGATCTATATATTATTTTTTCTGTTACATATTGGTTCACCTCTACTCTGCAGATAAAATGCATATATTCATGTCTCTACAAATGGCATTCACAGGTATTGATCCATAGCCATATTCTGGCACATGATTTGGCATATTTTGGCATAGCATCTGAGATATCAAGACATAGTGTTTTCCATTGAGGCTAGACAACAAGACACAAATGGATACAACGAACATTTTTCCGCAACGCGAAAAACAGCAGAAACCAACAGCAGCTGCCTCGTTTTCGGCCGGACCAGTGGGTGACTTGTTGTCTGGGCCTTGGTGACGGCGAGGTGAACAGAAGATTTTCTGATTGACTCCCATTTTCTGTTATGGGATTAATGATATATCGGAACTTATGGGATGGATTATATGGGAGATCATGTTCTGGGATTCTATGGGAACTTGTGGGATTCACAACAATTTCGGTCAACAAGTAAATGAATGAAGAATGGCAATGTTTGAAATGTTTGATGCATCTTGCCTCAACCAGAGACGCTGAAACGACAACCGAGGACCAGACCCAAGTCTCCATTCTGTCCAGACCTCAAGGACGGATCCATCAGATGGTCCAAGTGACACGGACCGAAGTGGAACTGGGGGATACCTGGGAAAAACATAGTCAGCTGATGTCAAACAACCTTGGGATTTGAGACTTGATCGTGGGATCAAGTGGATCAACGCATCAACGGAGCGAATCAGAACCACAATGATACTCGGACAATTCCACAATATGATGTGCTGGTGGTTTTTGGTGCAATTAAACAGTTGGGTCTGGGCTGAAAATATCACCACCCCAAAACTAATAAAATGGATGCTTTAATATTATACATTGGACAATTTAACTCCAAACGACCAAACAGTTGGTTGCTCCCAACAGGTACCCACTGGTAAACGTTTACATAACTATGGAAAGATCCACCATGTTTAATGGGTAAATCCACTATAAAATGGCAATGTTCAATAGCTTTTTGTATGTTTACCAGAGGGTAAGAGGACCAAATTTCCACCCCAATTGTGGCTGTGGAGCCCCACTGACTCGACCTGGCGGCCACAGGGAGGCTCCGGGAGAGCATCTTACCTGTGAAGCCACTGGCCCCATGGCTTCAAAGCATTTTTCTGAAGGGGAATTAAATATGTTGGGAATTTATGGGAAATATATGGGGAATATATATATAATTATATATATAATTATATATATAATATATTATATATATGTATTGGTAAATATATTTGGGAAATCATTGTATAGCCATGTTTTCTTGCGGGGAGCGTATGAGAATATGATGATAAACCTGTGGATTTGAAAGGTATAAACCATGTTTGGACAAGCTCAACTTGCCTGGTTCCTGGAATGAACATCAACGTGCAGTCAGTTGCCTGTTTTTTTGCGATTGCTGGCTCTTCAGCCCAGCCAAGATGATTTGAAGCACACTACAGTACCAATTTACAGTCACAATTGACCCAACACCTGAAACAACTACCTGCAAATGTATGCAAATTTGCCATCACATCAAAACTCATCAACATGACCATGTTGTTCCCACTAAGCTATGACATTTATCACAAACTTTCAATCTGTTCTGGATTCGTCAACATGACATACATGCTATTACATGCTATTTAAACCTGATTTATAAACTGTTCTCCCAATTTCATAGATGAAAATAGATGATAAATCCACATCGGTTACCCACATATATATATTATATATTTATATTATATAATAATATGTATATATATATATATACGTATATATATAATATATATATATATATATCATCTAAATCATTTAAAATCTAAATGATTCCGAATGCTTCCAACATTTCCAGATCCGGAATGGCGCCTTCTCCGCCTGGCTGGCTCGGCCGGTTGCGGGCGCTCTGCGCGCCGCGCTCTCGTAGGCGCTCCCAAACGTTGCCGCTGGCAGGGCGCTTGGCGTTGGTGTGGAAGGCCATGACCTGATCACAACGGCGGAGTTAACCAAGAAAAATGAGGGATTCAACTTAATCAATCAAAATAATATTGACATGGAAAATCCACAGGAAAACCTGGCAATATCTCATCAAACATTGGGCTTTCTGGTTAGAATGTTCCTTAAATACGGAGGAACACATGGGAGGAACGCATGGTTTTGCCATCCGACAGTGAAAAGTTCCTGCAACGTTTCCATTCAATTCTGAATATAGGAAGGGACAATCCATGGCAATGGATGACCGACAAACATGTGTTGCAGAGGACGGGAAGTAAGTCGCATGAACAACTTCCGGATCACCCCGGATCACTTTTTAATGTACCAGTCCAATAGCTCTGACATCTGTGAATAGGGCCTGCCTGCAGAAGTTCCTGATGAGCTCGTTGAATCCGATCCCACTCCGCCAGAGCCAGAAGGCCATACTTCGCCACCACCTGATGGCCCTGAGTCATGGCGGAGAAGCGGAACTTCAGCCTGGGGCCGGGCATGGGCCGAATGGGATCGTCTGTACATCCACAGAACATCATGGCGGTTCAACTAAGCCCAAAAGGTGAACCCCCAAGAATGTGTGGGCAAATCTGAGCAATCATTGGGAAGTCAACCCATCAACTAACCATAACTAAGGATAATGATAACTCACCGTAACTACCCATAACTAACCATCATTCTCCCTGAAATCGTGGGGTTTTTGTGTCAAATCCCTATGGTTAAACTGCCAAGGCAACATCCATCTGCACATGTCCCGGCGTAGACTTCCTCGGAAAATATGGCGACATCCCAACTTTTTAACCTCCGACAATCAAATGTGGCTGGTTGGAAAATCCTTGAACTAACTGGAGGTTTATGGCGGGAAATTCATCGAAGTAAATGATGGGTTTTCCACTGCCACGTTTGGTGGTGAGTAAATGATGATTGTAATGGGATAAATCTATGAAAATCATCAAACTCAATGGGGGATTTGATCATTGGTCGGCTACCACCTAGCGCCTGCTTGATATCTATATGTCTATATCTAAATGAATGCAACATAATGCAACTATACAAATGCCAGGTATATCTGTGCTGAAATATCATATTGCAGCAGCGAATCGGATTGCTGCTTCAGGGAGGGATGGCAGAATGTAGCTCTCTTCCAGGATTTCATCTGCAGGGTTGACGGGTTGACATCCAAAAGCTATCCAAAATATCCCCATGAAACATCCCTTGGCTGACCGGCCATGGTGTACCATGGTCCCTCCATCTACATACCTGGCCCCAAATTTGACCTTTCCCCTTAACCTATACAGATGCTGGTCATATATCAAATGTCTTCAACATTAACACCACCAAAGTGTTGGGCTAGTTGACCTAAAGTTGAGGTTTTCCCAGTTTTTCGATCAAACTTAGTTGGTTTCCCCGTTAAACAGCAGGTTATGCCATAGATAAAATAAAAAAAAACACACCTAACATGTTTAACATGCTTGTTATTCCCAACCAATTTGAGGTTTTCATGGATATTCCACCATTTTCTCCAGTGTTTTCCCCCATTTTCTCATCCAAACCAGTCCCCGCTCTCCGCCTTCCGCCGGCGCCGCCAGGCCGTCGCGTAGCAATTGGCGCCCCAGCTGTGCCAAGGGCACCAGGAAACGGTGAAGAAGACACCAATCCAACGTGGCACGCCTGATTTCAGCTATGGCGCCATGGCTATGGATGGCTAGTAAGGCTGGATGAAAATTAGTTGATGACTTTTTGGATGGTTGGGATGGTTGGGATGGTGGGGATGGTTGGGATGGTTGGACATTGACAACTTAGTATGTCCTGCGGTTATAACTTACAATTGGTAACTTATGACTATGCTTGTGAAGGGCTTCAATGGATGGATATGTGGATGGTTGGATGGAACGTTGGAAAAAAACAACACATTCAATATAGCCAGTTGATTTGAATCCCTACGGGATAGTTGGAAGGATGGACATTGACAAAAGCCCATGTTTTGTTTCATCGCTATAAGGCTATAAGTATATTGGGGTTATAGAGTAGATTCACTAACCAAGCATGTTGATGCTTGTGAATAAAGATCTTTCCATAGAATCGCTAGCCGCTACCCTAAACTGGTTTATATATTGGGATGTTTGGATGCATCCAATGGATGTTCATTTTCATCACCGCCTTGGGATTAACCATGGTTAACCTCATAACCATTCTGCTTTAAAGCCATAAGTATATATTGGGAACATCACCAATGATTCCATAACTGATTGCCGGTGGCTTGGAAAATACTTGGATGGTTGATGTCTCCTTGGGATTGGAATATGATGGGAGACAATGGAGTTGGACATGCCCAGATAGTTTACCATGAAACTTACCTAACTTTTAAGTGCAGGGTATGTGTTTATTGAACAGGTGCAAGGAGAACCAGTTTCAATTCGGAGTTTGAACAAAAGCTGGAAGATCTGGAAGTGGTTCAATGACTGTTGAGTACTTAAGTACTGAATCATCACGGACCCTCACACCTGGAAAACAGCAAGATCATCCGGCTGCTTTTTTTCAAAACCACCGATTCTGGCGGGCATTCAGCTGTTTCGCCAGCCCCAGAAACTCATCGGCATCCTCCGCCATTCTTTGTGACCGATTGGCCAAGCTGGAAATCTTCTCGCCGCGCTCCAAGGCGCGGTTGGTGGTTTCAGCCAGTTGATCCATGACCCCAGCAGCCCCTGCCCCAGCTGTCGGCCTTGCACGCGACGAGGCTCCGGCTGAGCTTCCCGCAGCTGGTGTCGCAGCCGCGGCAGTCAGGCCCCGGCTGCGGTCCAGGCGGTCACCGTCCAGGTCGCTGGGGCAGCTGGAGACGCAGGAGCGCAGGGTTTTCACTTCGCGGGTGAAGAGGGAACCAAACATGCCAGTGCTGGAACTTTGAGTGGGAGTTTTGGTGTCCATCTCGTCCTGGAAGCTTGGGGGGAACGCAGTAGAGGGACATCAAAAGCAATAGTAGCTTGGGAAATCCAAAGAAAGAACCTACCGAAAGTATCAAAGAACATATTCCAATCATTTCTCCGACTTCAACAACCCAGATACACTGTTCTGAAGGCCCTGAATGATCTGCGCCAGTGTTGCAGCTCTGACAGATGATTCTAAGGCAACTGACTCAGAGGTATCTGATGCGCGACTGAACCAGAGACCTCCAGATTTTGATCTGATGACCAGGCTGCCATCTGAAGCAATGACCGCTGAGATGATGGCACCATCTGCCATCTGACTCACTGGCAATGATGCAACTTGATGCAGGGATGGTAACGCCCAAAAGTCCAAAGCTAAACCTGAAGTCAGCAAATATAAACAAAGCTCACCGGTCACTTCACAAATGTTGGCTGCGAGGACGCGTTTGCTGAACTTCACAGTCTGGGCACTTGGCTGCAGTCGATCCTCGTGTCGTAGGAATAGGCTGCAGCTGGTGGACTGAACAGCCACCAGAAAGCTGTCACAGAGGTGTAGCATCAGCACCTCTCAGCGGTTGCTAAAAAAAAGCATGGTTTGGTTTTGATTCTGTCAAGTGGCTTTTATTCTGAATGATAAATGATAGGATTATGTTGAAATGAAACAGTTCATCATTCCATTTGTTGTTGACTTAACCTCCCAGGTTTGATTGCTGGGACCAGGGTTTATCCACATTCTTTGCTACTTGTCCTCTGGAAAGTAAACATGGCACCGGGAAGCATCCCCATTTCTAATCGGAAACTCATGAGTTTGGGGTTAACCATTGAACATCTGGATATATTTTCATCTATGTTTCCATGAAAACTTCAGAAAAAATCGGATCCACATCAAAACTAGGGATTCCATGGATTTTTTACATTAAGGGGCAGAATAACAAACTAACATCAACAAAAACATCAATCATTTCCTCCCCATTTCCGCCCACTTTTGTTGACTTCCCACCTTTCCACCATTGAGCCGCGGCAGCCGGGTCTCTCTGATCCTGGCGTCCAGCAATTGGAAGCCGGGCCCGGCGAGCTGTCGCAGCTCGCCACTGGACATGGCCACGGCCAGGGCGCCGTTGCAAATGGGAGCGGTAAGACCTGGGGATCCGGGAAGTCATCAGGGAAGTCATCGGGAATTGTGGATAGAATGGGTTAGAATGATGTGTTTTGCATTGATTAATAATGAAATAAGGACTTAAGAATAAGATAAGGACCTGATACTGGGTTATAATGACATATAGAGGATTTATCATATGATGATAAAAAACAATCATATCCCAAGCTCATTTTGAGGTCTTTGGATCCTTTGGATCCATATAGAGAGAGCACACCATCCCCAACTTTCCATGGCCGGCACCTGGCACCGCCATGGCTGGCATCTTCCCATCCGCTGGCGCCTGCAGGACACACGGGGAGAACTCGAAGGCCTCCAGCGTCTCCGGCGGTGGCCCGGGGCCCCCGGGGCCGCCCCCGGGGCGGCCGCTGGCTGGGCTCGGGCTCGAGGCCATGGAGAGGGAAGATAACATCTCCTGGGCCGAGCTGCCAAGATAAAGAAATTTGATATACATGTGGATGATTTTGAAAGGAACTGCAAAAGAACTTGGTATAGTTCCATGTTTGTAGTGAGCTTCAAAAGTATAAAAGTGATGATATGGTTCTATAGGTTAATATTGGTTTAACTTCTAGTTGGATGGAAAAAATAGATCCAAATAATGCCATAAGAACTCTGTATAGTTCCAAGTTGCAGAAATGCATACGATCCGCAGTTTCAAGTGCAGAACAGAACCACTTAGGTGGAAATCAGAAATCACAAAATCTGAGTATACTTGGTTCCAGTGTCTCCAGTGAAACCATCAGTAATGCACAAGTGAGAAGAGCTATCGCAAGAGAAGAGCAGTAACTTTGCTGCGGAGGGCTCCATGGGAGCAAAGTGCACCAATTTCAGCAGCGAAATCTGCACCTGAAGGGCTCGCAAAAAGTATCAAAAGACACTCATTTTAGGCATTTCAAAATTCTACAAAACCCCAACATATAACAGGAACACACCAAAAATCGGATCTAGAAGATGTTTTTTTCCTGTTATTTCTTCAAACAAAATGCTATTTTGTGGGTTCCATGTCAAATTTAAGGTCTGTATCTTTCTTTTTGGACTGATAGCTTTAGATACTCTCCCACCCAACCATTGCAACATGCCTGGTGCTGTCTCAAGCGCATGGCACATACGAATCCACTGGGCACTTGGGGCAGCTCCGCCGAGTCCTGCCCCTCGCTGAGCAGCAGCACTCGCCACTCAGCAGCCTCCGAGGCGCTGAAGGCCGAAGCCGAGGAATGCCATAGGAAGAGGACCACCTCGCCGGAGACACAGCCGGCCACCACTGCGCCAGCAGCTATGTCCATTGCCACCTGGATGTGAACATCTTCAAGAATTGCCATGTTGTATCATGGCTTTCTACTTTTCTAAATGGCCAATTGGAGGCATTCCCGATTGGGGGACATGTGATATGATATTGTGGGGTATTTTCCCATTTCTTCACCATTTTATCACAATTTATAGATGATTTCCCCATATCCCAGTCCCATTCATAAACCTTTTTTGGTGAATTTTATCCCTTGTATCTCCATTATGATTGGTTTTAAATCACCATTTTTTTGGCCAGCCCCACCTGGCTGATGCTTCGCTCAGTGGGTGAAGACTCACCAGCCGAGAACGCAGGACAGGCATCGATGCCATCAAAAGTTCCTGGGTGGATTCGCACCACACACGCTAGCCATCTGGGGAGTTTCATCCCAAATGAGAGGGAAACATAGAAAAAATAGTCCAAACATGTTCGACACAATAATCTAACATATAAAACTATAGTTAAATTTCTGTTAAATATGACAGACTTATACTTACTTTTATATGTTAGATCTCTGTTTACTAAGTATGTTAACCACAGTAATTATATATTCTAATAAGCTAAAATCACCATTGAGCTTCGATAGTTGGGCCCTTCAGCTTCTCCTCCCATCAGCCGCAGGCGCCAGGGCATCGCTCCACATGGCTGCAGGGATAGGACCTGCAGCAGCAATAGGTTGGAGGCACTGCGCAGCCAGAGGCGAACGGTGCCATCCAGGTGACCGCTGAGCAACAGACCCTGGGGGCCACCCGAAAGGATGGCCCAAGTGGCAGCGAAGTCTTGGGGAGAAGGATCCAAATGTCGACCTCAGAGATGGATGAGGTGGGGCAAAACCAGATTGCAGGTGTTTTTGTGGGTATTTTTTGGGCTGGTGATAGTGGTGATAGTCAAAAAACAAAAGTGACCTGAAGAAATTTGGTGCTGGAACGGATTGGAGCTTGGAGAAGCAAACCATGAAATCAGACATGTTGGATCGGCACCTGATGTCGCATTCTACCTTCGTCAGAGTCACTCCGATATGCAGTTCAGCTTACGACATGGCAACATATCTTTTGTGGGATAAGGCAACCAAGGGAGGATCAGGTAACCGCCATGCGCCATTTTGATGGTCTTAGAGTCTTACCCCAGTTTCAGACACAGCTAGTGGCCACCAAGCCACCTTCGAAGAAGCTCTGGAAATGCGCCAAGTGATGGGCAAAGATCTCCTCCACCCCCACCCAGCGCATTGGATTTCCAGGTGTTTCACCGTCCGCCTCCTGCACCTCGCTGTCGTCGCTAAGTCCTGTGCCGTCCCATGTCCGAAAAAGGGTGTTTGAATAAACATCCTCCCCCTCAAAATCAGATAAAACAATATAAAACAAATATGATATGTTCATTTCCGGTGTATATCAAACCATCACATCCTTGTTCCAAGCCGCTGGTCCTTCCAAGAAAACATCTCGAAGTCGGAGTTCACCTTCCAAGCTGCGCCATTCCATGGTCCGTGGCCATTCAATCGGGGCATCTTTGGCCCATGACACGTCATCCAGTTGCATTTCAATTCGACAACCACCATCTTCTGGCGCAAGTTGCAACTTCAAAAAGTGACCTCACAGCATGCTGTGCGCATGGCTGGGAACCATCGAAAACCAGGTGATGGACGGTGACCCATATTGACCCATAGCCACATCTCTCAAAGCACCACTGAAAAACACTATCAGGGGCATTTTCCTGTCATAGTTAGTTGCTCAGGCTTCCTGGAACTATGAGAATAAAGAAGTGGGACATGCCGCAAATGAAATCAGAAAAATCCACGGACACATCAAGATAACCTATGGTGGCACAAATTCCAACAAGATAACAAATGGTCGATTTCAAGATATAGATTCTTCTTGACATTGCTTGAACATACTTTGCAATCCTAAAATCTGCACCTGAAAAACCAGGCCCCACCAGCCGCCCCATCTGCCAAGCAGCTGCTCCCAGGCGCCAGATCGATCTCCTCTCCAGCCTCGCCGGGCCATCGGACAAGCTGCGACGACACGTTCAGGTCCAGCTGCAGGGAACCCAGGCTGAGCTGCACCTGGCGCTGCCAGAGTTCTTTGGGGAAAAAAGGGGGGTTGTTTAGCCCAGAAAAGTGATGTTATGTTATATATGATATTATATGATTATATGATGTTATTAATTTAAGGGGACTCAAAAATTGGGATGTTCATTTTGGTGATTTTTGTTGACCTAGAAATGGAATTTCACCTGTTTTGTTTCCAGAGAAATGCTCCATATTTTCTAAACATGGTGATGCTAAATGAATTTACATGTGATGTTCAAGAATTGCATCTTTTTACTAGGAAACATGATGAGACATGGGGCTGGCAACCACGTAAAATGGATCAAACCCCGAGGGTTTCAGTATGTTAGAACCATCAAAATTAGATTTAGAAAATCAATCCTTCCCATAGAACATGGCCGTGAATTGGGAATTTGATCAAACCATATCAATCCCATTTCTTTGATAAAGAGGATTGTGGTTCAACAGTGTGCAGTGCGAAAACCAACAACAAGATATCTAAAGATAAGAATTTGAATCATGGGGTTTACCAACAAATTATTTCAACCATATTTTATGCATTGAATTGACTTCTTCATGTCGGAGTTGACAATTTCTTGGCAGAGGGGATTATTATATCTGAATACACGTTGGAGTTTTCACATTTTGGGCTTTGAGCCTTTTGAGTTGTCAAAAAAAAAGAAATACTCAAAATAATGTGACAGGTCGCAAGGTGCGAGTTTAACTCAAAATAAAACCAACTGTTGAATGGATGCTGATTAGATCATGTCTCCATTACATCCCCATTAGATACCCCAACCTTCGCCCCGTCGTCCGCCTTGGCATCAAGACCCAGACTGATCTCGGCCTGAATCGATAGCCTGGCTGGCTCAGGTAGCTGCCACTGCACGGCTTCCGGCGAACTCTCGGAATTCTCAGGTCCGCTGCAGACAAACCATCCATCGTCAGTTTCAGGAAATTCCTGGTTGTTGCTGACTCATCCCCTTGCGGAAAAAACAGTAATTAACTGATTTAGATAAAATCCTTCCAAACATGGGATGGGGTTCAAATTTCCCGCAAGCATCCCTTAGTAAGCAACTCATGTGCATGTCATTTTGCAAAAAGGTCATGCAGAAACATCCAAACCACATCAGCAGCGAGATTCAGTTGGAGGCATCGCAATGGCATCTTTGAGCTCACCATTGCAAACTGCCCACTGTCGACTCACAGGCGCGTCCACATCTACCTTTGCTGGAGCTGGTTCCGGGGCTTGAAGCACCCTGGATGGCAACAGTTCCATGCAACTGAAGTTGGCCAAGGGTAGCGATCCCCACGTCAATGGATATGTCTTGGAAGCACTAGCCACCATAAAATTGCCGCCACTTGTGACTGCTACCATGGCCACTTCCGTCATGGTCAGGTCATGATTTTCACTGAAGAGTGTGGTGGATGGCATGGCAGGACAGCCACATGGTCGGGTCTGAAGGGCACTGGGTCGAAACGCTGTTGCACCCATCACATCCTGCATGACCGTGTCAGCCCTTGACCAGTTCTCGCCACTCAAGTGTTGCAGGGAGGGATTGGGTGCACCTCGCCGCAACCATAAGTCCCCGGACAAGGCGGTGGTTTCTGAAGTCATCTGTGCATCCCAATGTAGCAAGGACACACCCTGCGCTGAGCCACCGGGAAGTGTGATTCGCGCCAGGGCCGATGAACTGGAGCGAGAGAAGAGGCTGATATCGCTCCTTGAGGCGGCTAAGAAATGACTTCCACTGCGACACCAAAGGATTGACGTCACCCCTGACATCGAATCAAAGGACCTCACGGCGCGATGTTTTTCAAAGGACCACAGTAACAATCCGCCCTCGCCATTGGCGATGACCACTTCACAGCTGCTGGGACCGGGACTCGCCCCAAGGGCTGCCACGGGGCAGGGCCGATCCTTGCGTCCGTAGAGGGCGGTGCAGGGGATGCAATAGGAAGCCATGTGGGGATGGTCGCCAGCATCAAAGGCGCGAACATCTCCCTCATCGGTGCCCAGGAAGACGAGGGATGCCTCCTGGTGGGATTTTTTGTGCAGTTCAAACGATGGTTGAGGATTTAGAAAATGCGATGAAAATACAACCAACTTCAACCAACCATGGAAAATATGGGATAAGCGTTTCGAACATCTGTATGGATCCATGAGACCGTAGTTTTCTTCTAAAGTCAAGCTCTCAACTTCAACCAATATTAGATTCCACAATGAACCTTCGACTCCTCGGCCACCGCCACACAGGAGACTCCAAATCGCAGCACCAATGCTTGATGCGCCGCCTGAATGGAGCTGGTCTCACTCTTCAGTTCCCACCACTGGGCCACCCATGTAGCCTTCCCCGCCGCCATGGGGGAGGCCACATCTGCTAGGCCGATGGAGAGCAACAGACCCGACCTGCAAAAGAGGAGAAAGGCCGGGGCCACCGGGGCTGCGGGATTTTTCAGGCTGCAATCCATCTCCTGACTGAGGAGACGAAGGTGACCTGCCGTGGTCGAAAAGGCAATCAAGGAGTTCCTTAGTTGGCAGCTGAGTAGCTGAGGGCAAAACAAAACATCCAAGAAAAGGAAATTTCCAACTGGACAGTGCAGTGAGTTCATGGAAAACTAATGAAACTGTTAACTTTATCACCAATAGCGACCAATAGGTTCCATGGGCATTGGTGGTTCTTCAACAGGTATCACGGTGTATCATCATGTTTTCAACTGCTGAAACTGGATAGCCCAGAACCTAGCAACCTTATGGAGGTCCACCACCAAAGGCCCAAGAGTTATTTCAGACTACCCTCCAGTAATCAAGCGTTGCAATGGGAAATCGCCTATAAATATTTGAATGGGAACATATCATCCAATATTTTCGTATATTTTCCATATTTGAATCATGGGAAATCGCCTATCTATGGTAGATTTTCCATGATTTTCCATTGCCAGGGTTGATGACCAAAGGGTATCTTAGCTCAGGTAACTGCTGCGAAGGAAGGACATGGATCGCCTTGACATCCTTCCTGTCACTATCTTTCTCTCCCCCCCAAAACCCGCAGAAAACTTGACGTAACTTTAAGTAACTTAATTATAGTATAGGTATGTTAACAGTTGTTCACCTCATCACCTTCGTTTTTTTGACATATGTTTTCACACTTTATTAATGACCCCCCAACAGATCCATCCAACCCTCCACCCATCCTCCAAGACACCACGACGTCAACGTCTGCGGCTCCGCTCCCCCCGGGCCCAGCAGCGTCCCCTCCGACACGCGCAGCGTCGCGGCAGAGAGCTGGCCCCGGTAGCCGCCGGAGGGGGCCGGGTCGTCGCCCTTAACAGCGCCCACCAATTTCTGGAAGCCATCTTTGAAGAAGGCCATGGCTCCAATGAATTTGTGGATATATAGCTATATATAATGCAATATATAATGCTGTATTATATTGGCTATAAATGAACTGAGAGTCAATGCAGTTGGCAAAAAGGGACACTAGACTTTTTTGGGGGGGACAAACCAGGAATGTGTTTTTTGGGGTTTTACTATTTTGGTTGGAGAAATGGAGGCTCTGGTTGATGTGACCGCTCTTTGTTTGGAATTTCTGTGTGAGTTTCACTCAATGATGTGCAATGGTTGGGCTGTGAATTCAAGGTCATACTGCTAGAACTGAATCTCATGATTCCACAATGCAACACATGATCCGAGTTCAGGCTTTCATCCTTAAACGGTCCAAAAAACGGTCCAAAAAACAGTTCGGTGGCCCCAAGAGCTGAGGCCTTGAGCATGGAACCTCACTGAAGTGCTCCAACCTTTTAAGAATCCACACATGGGGCGTTGAAAACATATTCCAACATCCATGACTTGTTGATGCCAAGGCGTCCCCCGGCGAGCCCGGCTGGAACCAGTCGGACCTCCTTGGATCTACTTTCAGCAACGCGCGGATCAAATTCTGCGCGTCCGTGCTGGGCGGCGTCTGGGCATCGCCGCCGAAGAAAGTGAAGTCGCCCTTTTGGATGGCCTGGTGGCTTGGGGGTTTGGAAGGGAGAAGTGGGGTTGGAAGTATGGGAAGTATGGGAATGGGGTATCAGGCGGTATCAGGGGATGTATGAGTACAATCTTAGTTCATAATGTAGATGATCTGTAGATGTGTGGATGAAGAATCCTTAGAGAATCCAGGCCAGCACCTGTTTTTCAATCAACATTCAATCTGGTACCCGTCCTCATGTTTGACAATGGCAACCTGGTGCAAGAAACAACGCTACGTCATTCTTTTCAGAACAAACTGCATTGTTGGCTACGTATCCCAGACTGGTATGTACTATCTCCCAAGCACAGATCCCAAACAAATAGTCCCCCCATCATACATGACTGGAAGATCATCTCATCATATCTCATCATTATAACACTAGATTATCATTCCATATCATTCCATTATTTTCTGCTAGTATCCGTTATTATCCCACATTATCCCCATGATATTCCCACTGTATTCCCATATATGTCTGGTCCTGAAAAACCTTCGCCGTCCCGGCTCCAGACTCCCCCAAATCCCCCGAATCCGCCTGTTGAAGCTCGGCTCCGCTACCCTCAAACGGACAGCGGCCAAGCAGCATCACATAGAGGAGCCTCGAGTTTGAGCAAGTCGTTTCGTGCCACAAGAAGCAGCCATAATCCCTTGAGACTGGGATGTTTGGGAGGATAATTAGAAGATCATCAACACAAGTGCGAAAGTAGATCAAGCGGATAAATTATATAAATTCCAAATTTACAGAGATGGCAAAATCACTCAGAATTCTATGGAATCGTATTAAAAAAATGCAACGTATACGTATTGGTCACAGCCCATCTATCCCAATCCAAGCCACACTCCAAGGCTCCACAAATCCGCGCTGCGCTCGTCCAAGGACTGAACAGCTTATACGGCATGGGAAGATAGACTAGATTGTCAGTGCACATAATTAATAAGCTATAACTGTTTATAAATATAGTGCACTGACAAATATTAATAGTGCATTTATAATAATTAATAGTGCATAAATATTTAATAACTATATTTATATGCACACTAAATTGCTCTGTATGAATCTATGTCAACAACAAATTCGATGCTAATAATAAAAGATCTGAAGAGCCTACAATGCACAAACAGCTCTGGAATGGTCTGGAATGGTCTACATTCTTGATGTCATAGCGATCTTGCCTCGTAATGGTCATCCATAGATTCAAATCCTTCGTAACCAATGAATGTTCCTCGCCACTTGAGTTGCATCGTGCGTTTTCTCATCTATATCAGTAATTATAAAAAACAAAAACACGTGACTGTTTCCACTTCCAGTTTGAGCACGAAAAGGACAACCACAACATATTTCGAGCACATATAACAAAGTTTGTTATTTGGGAGTTTTACTTGGTTGTAACTGCGATAGACCTCGATGAAGGTTCATTGGGAGTTTTACTTGGTTGTAACTTCGATAGCCCTCGATGAAGGTTCAACCATGTTCAGAACTGGGCAACGTTGCAATACCTAAATTTAATAACACCTTGCTGTAGGTAAAAGCGAATGAAACACTGACCAACAACTTTAAATTCGAGTATCACAGTGGCAATAATTACTGTACTAACACACCAAATGTGAGTCTTCGGGAAAACAGCGAAACATCTGTTATCTGTGCATTCTAGCATCCATCCAACTATCGAACAAGATCAATCAACTGCATATGCAATATAAACATCTACAAACGGCCTCCGAAACGACATCCCCTACATAAAACCTTCAAAACTTGATGTAAATGGATGAAATCAGGACTGGATATAGGATTCCATTAACCAGTTATATAATCAACATTGGTTAACCAATGGCTAATAACCACTTAATTCGTCAATCAATGGTGATTCCATTCACCACTTAATTAGCTGTTAATTAACCTTACACCACTCCCCATCCCCATCCCGACCCTAACCCCCACCGGTGCCACCTCCAAGGTGAATGCCTCCGGTGCCATGTAGAGCGGGGTCCCCACGTGACTGGAGGACCTCACGAAGATGTCGTCGACCACCTTGGAATGTCCAAAATCTGCCAACTTCACCTGGCAGCAGGGTATGAGGGGAAAATCACCAGCGAATTGCGACTGGATGCCTGTGCATGATTAATGATGTATGTATCATCTTATATAAAATTTACATAAATGATTATAAATGTATGATTACTGATTACTTTCATATGTCGGTATACAGTGTATAGATTATATAAGAGTTTGTGTGGATCAGAAATTGTCCATGTGTTGACTTACTGAAAGTCATAAAATCCTCGTATTGGATGATGGGTCCTTCATTCTGTGAGTGACATCTTGCAAGGCAAAGGTGGAGGGTATTGTAGAGTCTGTAATTAATACTTATAAATTAATAAATATATCACAGTCCACATTAATATCTATACATTAGCTAATATCACCACAGTCTCACCTATAAATACTATCAACTTACAGCTGAATGTTTACCAGGCCCCATTGTTTTTTCTCCTGGGCGCCTGAGGGGTGACCATGGGATCTTCCCATGAGCGATCCAGCACCAAGACGTTCTCGGGTTTCAAATCCCGATGTGCGATGCCCCTGGCGATCCAGGCGATTTTTCACCGATGGAAAAGTCCCAATGACTTTCATGAATATATCCCTGGGTTGATTGTCACTGTGATAGGTAAAATGAGTCATTTAACTTTCAGGGTCGTTTTTGGGAGATGCTGGAACTTAGGGCCAATTCAAAAGATAGGAACATGATGTGATTCCTTCACCGTACTCTTGACTTCTTCTAACCGGATTGAAACCTCCTACAAACCGGTATGTGGCAAACAAGCAAAACGAAACTGTGTTTGCGAGAAACCAGCTGCAGAAACAAACCTCCATGCAACAAATTGCCTTAGCGCAAGTGTTCGGCACAGTCCCCTGCCTCATGTGAATATAGTGCAGTCCCTCAGCGATCTGCCGAAACACATCCGAGGCCTCCAATGAAGACACCAGGGTTTCAACATTTATAAAGCACAGAATAGGAACGATGGGAACGATGGGAATGATAGGAACATATAGGAACCATACAACAGAATTAACCACATATGATCAACTATGATCAAATCATATCACATATGCCAAGGTTTTATGTGGATACGTGTGTGTTTTCCATTGTTTTCCCCTACATTGGCGCCTGCGACTCACATAGGACGCGCCGCATGCCAAGCACATCGTCCAAGCTTCCACCGCCCAGGAATTCCATGACCAAATGCAGTTCCTGCTGGGAAAAAAAACGCTGCTGAAATGACGAATATCATAGGAACATGGTGGGATCTTAATTCTAGTGGGATTTCCAGATTTCCTTGGGGATATTGATTCATAATCCCATCCTCCCAATGTTCAATAGCCCCCCCATTCCCGCTGATGTAGTAGTGGATTTTGTTCTATTTTGGGAGGCCCATTTAGGGGATGTTCAAATTTCGCGAGATTCTAAATGGACCTGTTGGATTCACATAGTTTTGTCCTATCATGTCTAGATGGACCTGGGACTTAATTATAAATCATTTTAGTTGCTATTGATCTCGGGTTTTGGAGATGTTCGAGATGTTCCCAAACATGGATCAAGAATGGCGGCCCGATGTATAGGACTCAAAATGAATGGATACAGCAACTCCATCAATAGAACATCAAACATCGTCCATAGGGACAACATAGAAATCATCTCACTGCAACTGCCATCGCAACAGACTATCCAGCATTGAACATAAAGGTTTTTATATAGATCCAAGTAGATACCAAAATTTAACTACCCTCTGGTAGCTCAACAATAAAGCTATGATTTTCATGGAAAATCACCATTTTCAATAGGTAAATCATCTATATCATCTATAAATCATCGAAGTCAATGACCACCGCGAAGCGATCACGCTGCGCCTCGCTGCTTTCGATGACATCCACCAGGCCGGTGATCTTCGGATGCTGCAAGGAGAGGTGGATGGCCTTACCAATGTGTTGAGCTTCGGCACCGGTGAGGTCAACCAGTAACACCACCTGGATTTTTGGTTAACCAGAAATTATAGGTTAACCAGAAATACATTACATAATATTTACACATGTTTTTTTCTATATAGAATATTATAGAATATTATAGAATATTATAGAATATTATAGAATATGCTGTAAATTTTCTGTGGATTCCACTCTCTTGGTATGTTTTTTGGTTGCTTCACCATCCCCTGATATAATCCAGAGGGCACTAAAACATCAACAGGACATGGCCCAGTGGCAATTTCCTGGTGCAACATCTCCTCCACCTGTTGATAGTTGCCCTGGCGACGAAGCTTGGTGAGTTTGATCCTGCGCTGCTGAGGAGGGGTGGGGTCAAGCCGGTCACGGTCATTGAAAATGACAGGGTTCAAAGTGCCTTGAGATCGAAGGACCCTGAAACCAGGGTGAGTTATTTTCTCGTTCATTGATAGTTAACTGCCTTTGGCATCTGCATCATCTATAAGTCACTATATAAGTATATAATATATCATATATCAACCAGTATATTAATCATTGATTATCATTCTTAACCATTATTAATTATATATAACCACTATTAACCACTATATGGGTATGGGTCAAAATTAGGTACCCCAATAATTGGATGGTGAATACTAAACTAGACTAACATCTGTGGTCCCCTAGGTCTTCCATTTTGACCCAGATCCATATATCAAGGTCATCCTTCATCACCTCCACCACCACACTCGCGGCGTCCTCTTCACGGCCAGCACCTTCCCCTGCTGATCCGCGCAGCGAAACACACGCGCCGTGGCGCCGGAACCCACGGTCTCCAAGAGCTGGTAACGCTGGGGATCCTGCCCATGGCCGGTGAGGGGCTGGAGAAGCAAGCTGGAAATGATAGATATATTAGTTGGTAGATCATTAGTTGATATTCATTAGCTCCAATGGCTTATGAAATTTGTAGATGTTTGTAGTTGGTAGACATTGGTAGTTGATAAATCCGGAACTATATAACTAGTTGGAAATATCTCGCTGTTGGATATATGGTTTTAATTGGTAACTAATAGTTGCTAAATCCGACTCATAACTCCAGTTGATACGTCCAATCTAATTAATTCATCTATATCTGTCTAACTTATATATTGTCAGACCATAACATACTCGGAAGACTTGCGTTTTCAACCATTTCACAAGCAAAGAGTGAGAATAGTCTCTCAAGGTCACAATTCATATTGCTTCTCTCAGTGGCCCACCAAAAGGGTTGTTTTTGCTTCACAAATCCAGAGGTGTTGTAATGAAAGCGATAATCCTGAGCTGCCTCAATTCACTAGATAAGTATAAACTTTTATTGTGTTAAAGTACGTATGTTAAAGTCATGAGAGCATCTAGACGAACATGCCGTTGCCATGTGAATTTAGGTCCCTCTCATACTCCCAAAACAGGAATCTGGCACTCAACCTGTGCCCCAAACCTGAACACCTGAACCCCCCCCGCGGCAAGACCTCGTCAGGTCCAAAGGTGATCACAGGTACAGCTGCTGGCAACGCTGTCACCGTGCTGGATTGGTTCAAGGCCTGACATGATGTGGCTGCGGGGTTCCTACGTTCCTTATGTTTTGAGCTGTGGGACAAGAGCATCTGCGGCTTTGCCTTCAGAGCAAACACCGCTTCTGCATCGCTTGAGATACCACCGCATCAAATTGCTGCAAAATTGCGAAATTATACCAAGTTCCATCCAAGTCAAACAGGTCAAAGGTTCAAGTTTTCATGAATTGTGGAATCATTCCGAATCATGTCTAGCTTGTTTGGGATGATTCACAGTCTCACTTTATCATCACCAATGTCCCATCATTTTCTTGGAGCATTCCTAGATCTGATCAACAACCAGTTCATAATTTTGTTGATGTCATCCCTACATATCCCCAAATGTTTTCCTTCTATTCCATCAATATTTCTATAGATATTCCCTTTATCACCAGATAAATCCATATATTCCCATAGATCTTTAGATCTTCCCATATATTTCTGAGGTTTTCCTAGGTTTTCCTAGGTATCCCTAGATCTTCCCATAATTTTTATAGGTTTTTCTCCCCACCGCCCCCGCTGGCTTTCCGCCTTCGCCACCCGGTGCCGTTCCAAGGGCCGCAGCTGCAGCGCGTCGGCCAAGGCTTCCCAGGAAGCCGTGACCTGCAGGGCGATGGAAGAAACAGACAGTCGGTTTGATTCGTAATGTGAATAATTAGTGAATAATCTGACTTATTGTGAATTATTCACTAATTGATTCACTAATAATAATAAAGTGGATTGTGAATAATAATCTGATAATTAGTGAATAATTCACAATTATTATTACAATATTACAGTATGAATTATAATAATTATAACAATACTATGAACAATTCACTATTATTACAGTATCATTATTTGTTTAATTCATATTTTAATATATGTTAATAATATTGTGGTTATTTCAATAATTAACGAATAATTGTGGATTTATTGTGAATAATAATCAATAATGAATCACAATAATAGATAATAAATGATAATAATAATCAATAATAATTAGCAATAATAAATAGTCATAATAATAACATCAATGATAATACTCATGAGAATCAATAATTCATATGGGTAAAACAATAATAAACCATACCCCAAATCACCATAAATAGGTGAATACAAACAATAAACAATAATAATAAATATTCAATATGATAGCAAAAATAACTATCATAATATCAAAATTATATATATATTATATCAATAATGTTCGACATGAAACACTCTCTCAGACCATCTCCCGGTGGCCATGTGGCACCTGCGCTAGGTCTACCATCTGGTTCCTGGGTCTGGTGAGGTCCAAGAACACTGGTGCAACTTGCCGGTGCAAAATACGTGGTGCCAACATCCGAAAGCGAACGCTGCCAGTAAACCCATATAGGAAACCCTCAATCTCTGGCGATTCCAACGATTCCAACGTAGCAATTTCGATGATCCAAAACAAAGGGACCATGGGACCATCGAACTCCACAGCCGGATCCGGGCCAAGGTGCTGCTGACACCATCTCTGCGCCGCAGTGTCGCAATGCGCCAGCTTCAAGGAGCTGAGCCAAGCCGAAAGACCTGGAACTTCAGGCGCTGACGTTACCTCCTGCTGCTGATTGGTTGGTAGGTGTAGGTAGGTCGAGGTTGGTAGCTAGTTGGTAGGTGTAGATGGTGTAGCTCCTATAAGTCCCAAGAAATTCGCCCATCAACGAGGCGTTGTTCAATGGCTCAATAATTTTTGGCCCATGACATCCAAGCCTCATCCAATGTCTGTTCAATCTCCAATCTGGTCATCCCAACAAACAGCAGTTTGGAGGCTGAGAGGCTGAGACCTTATGGGATTTTCGAAGATCAAAGCATATTTGGGGATGGCATGGGATGACAGATTCAAGTAGGAAAATTGTGGGAAAATGGGAAGATACAAGGATGGAATGATCAAGCTGGAAGGAACACCACTGGGCTGTAAGTCATCTACTTGGCTATGTTTTGGGGCTCCGATTTTTGATCCACATTTTTCTCCTGAGGTCGGTTGAACTGCTACCAACAGCAGCCACATTTGGATCACTTGGAACAGAACATCAAGTAAAAATCCAAACAAATCCAAGCCTTGGTCCATGTAATCATATAGTTCGATGATTTACCTGTTACAAATGGTATTTGTTTTTAGCTGCCTGCATTATCCTGCAAATGGACTACAGATTGGAATGTATGCGTTTAGTATTGACCATCTAATTATTGGCCTATCCAATGACTTGAGCTATACCCATATGGAAGTTTCCTCAGTCATCTAAATCATTCGGAATCCATGTTTTTGTTTTTCCATCATGAAACATCCATTTTGGCCATTTTGGGGATCCCCCATGTATGGAACCCCCTCATATCATGGGTTTTTCACAGCTCAGCGTCCCGAATCGGCGTTGGATCCTGTGCGAAGACTGCGCGAAGCAGTGCTGCTCCAGCATCAGCCTGGCCGGCACCAATGGACCCACAGAATTGGCCATTTTCACCACTTTGGGGTTGAAGAAAAGACATAAAACACCATCAATTCTTGGGGTTCATCATTAAGATCCGAAACTATATAATACATATATATAAGCTATGTATATATATATAAGCATATAACTATTTGGTAAAATCCACTAAAACATATTTAAACAACTCAATTCTCCCAACATTAGTTGGTTACATCCCGAGGTCTCCGCCTTTGCTGCTGCCCTCTCCGCCTCCTGACGTCAAAGTCAGGGTGTGCTCAATGATTTCCTAGATGTTTAACAATACTAATGTGCCCAAATAACGACGTTTTATGATGTTTCATGATACTCAGTAATAATAAGTGAAACATCTTGAACCCATATAATAGATGACAAACATCTGTGGTTTGCAACTGCTTTTCTGTGACAGTCTGTGCGGGTCCTGAGCATCGCCATGCATCATAGCATTGGCCAAGATGTGACATGGAGTTTTTCGAAGAACTCCCCATGGATGGAGCAACCAACCAGTTCAACCAATCAGGACATATCAAAAAACGAAGTGCTGGATACCACTGATATTTCCATCTGGTTATGACTAACAGTTTGGAAAGATCCACCATTTTTATAGCTAGGTAAACCATCTATTTCTATGGGCCATTTCCCATGGCTATGTTAAATAACCAGATGGTAACCACTGATATTAACCACTGATATTAACCACTGATATTAATCACTGATATCACCTTTTCAAGGTCCCAGCTGAAAAATCATCCCCAGCTGAAATCTGAACACAATCCGCCAAGAACACACCAGCATCTGGTCACATGTGCCCTAGATCGTCCCCTTTGGCGCGGCCGGGGGAGATTGGACTGGCGACACTTGAGATCGCTGAAACTGAAAGAGCCAACGGCTGGACGGACCACAAACACCCAACTTCGTCAAAGCAATGCGTCATGGGAGTCACGGGACTTCTTCAAGTGCAACAAAGACTCACCAAAAAAAAAACGCAACCCGAAAAAAAAAAACATCTCTACCTTAAATACACAAACCAGGTTGTATTATATATATATCTACAATTATATATATATACAATTATATATAATATATATATATATATCATTATAAATCCTACTTTTCACCAAGGTGGTCTCCACCTGTATCCGCCTTGCCCGCCTCGAAGTCAGTATATCCAGCCATGGTGACCTCAACAGATTCATCGATGCCCCAGGGGGTTTTCCCCAACGACCTGGCTCCGTGGGGAATCCTCCAGGTCTGGAGAAACCACGATGAACCAATGGAGATTTCTAGATTTCTGGAGAAACTATGATGAACTACATCTGGATTTATTTCAATGGAGATTTCTGGAGAAACTATGATGAATATTGCAAATGAACTACATTTAGATCATTTTAGATTCATGTATCAGATGATACTGTAATATCTGTAATGATGAAACCATGGAAATTTCTGGGGAAACCATATATTTCAGAATCGTTCTCCATTAATGGGAAGATCATCTGCACCTTCATCCACCTTTGGAAACCCGAGGTGTCTCTAGGGAGAGGCTGCGAGACAGTGCTCAGGGCGGGACCCGAGGACTGAAGGCTTTGGACAATGGACACAAAATTGGCCAATGGTCACTGCACAGCACGGTTCAAACCAATTCTGACTATCCAAGAAACTTAGCATTGGATGAATTGGATGAGCTGGTGATGGGTGAAGTTCAGTGATCAAAAGATCTTTTTATGTCGCTGATGCTATCTTTCAAAATCTCCACTGGATTGATGCCATGGACCATGGATGATGCCATGCATCTGCCCCCAAGTTGATGTTCTGAGCTGTATGGCAGGACAACCGAGCATGGAGAGCCGGTTTTTACTGTGTGATGATTCCACCCAAACTAAACGTGCCAGTGATGTCTTGTGATGGTAAACTCCTGCCACTAGACGGTGATTTCAACAAAGTGTCTTCATGCGGGACAAGATGCATCAAAATGTTATGTAATTAGTGGACAACTGTTGATAAAACGTGCTGAAACATGCAAAACTAAATTCAAACATAAAGAAATGAAGAATCATGAAGGACCATGAAGCCATTATCTTTGACAACCCCGTTTTTGTTGATTCCATCAATTCGATCCATGAACCAATCCTGAAAAATATGTTAAAATCCCAATTTGGATGAGTCAAATCATCAAACAAACTCCCCCATGTTTGGACCACCCCCAACTCCGTCCATCTCCACCATTTTCAGCAGCAACACGGCCGCGGCCATCACCGGAAAGGCCCAGTTGGGGGACTTGCTGGGCATCAGCCTGGCACACACCCCGTGGTGAACCGTTTCCGCAACGGGTCCGGTGTCCGGTACGTCCCGTCTTCGGAGCACCCCACGGTGGCGCGCCACGCGCCAGGTTTACCGTAGAGGGAGCTACCTCACGAAGACCAAAGTGGACAAAATATCTGGAGATTTTCCAAGATTTTGTCAGCTGTATTTCAGCAGTTTCCGCAGTTTCAGGACCAACATGATATTGCTATCTGCTTGGTGCTGTCTGCTTCTTTTGTCAGGCTATTTTCATGTTGCATCATAGAGATTCCTGCGCATGTCGATGAAAAAAACCGACAGGTCATCAGGCATTTGTCATGTCTGCACTGATGTTGGTCCGAAAGGCCAAGACTGTCAGATGGCTTTCAGCGATGTCATTGGCGGAATCAGGACTTTCCTCAGGAAGTCACATGTTTTTTTGTCGCAAAATATGAAACATCCGCAGCATCATTGTTCCCGATAAAAAACGTTGGACAAACCCACATATCATGTTTGTGTATTACAGTACATCCCCATTCATCATGGTTGGTCTCCTGGCCCCGAAACTGTTGTTAAGAGAGCTAAACATAACATCGCAAAAACGATGAAAACTGATGCAAACTGCGTATATCTTGGGTAAATAAATCCCCATTGTTTGATGAATGAAAGCCACCATGTTTGGTGATTTCCTGAGAGTTTCGAGGTTTTTTGTTTGCTCCGAAGCTCTCCAGATTCTGAACATCAACCCATACGGTTCACCACTGCCATAAGTCTCAGACCATGGTTACCATTCAAAGCTTCCACTTTCAGCTCCTGAAAGCCAGTCCAAGTCAAAAGTAAGCAGAATGAAACATGAATCTAGACCATTAGCCCTAAAAAATTGCAAAAGTACTAAGACTCATGGGATACTTGGAGGATCTAGGAATGTAGAAAATGGGTTTCCCACACACTAGCCCTGAGAGTGTTTCCATAGCGAGTTGCAAAAGTTGTCTGTCGTCTCATCTGAAAAACGAGGCAACCCATTGCAACTTCCACCCCCAAGTCCCCAAGTCCTTGTGTGCACACCTGTCATGTGCAGAAATGCCGAAGATCCACTCAAGACCCACTAGCATATGATCTGGTTGGTGGTATACCTACCCCTCTGAAAAATATGAAAGTCAGTTGGGATTATTATTCCCAATATATGGAAAAATAGAACACATGTTCCAAACCACCAACCAGTGAAATCAAACATGGTGTTCATCGATGCTTTTTCCCCCAGCTAGAAACCTCCATTTAGTTCAGGGATTTTCCAGCCAGCCACGTTTGATTGCCAGAGGTACATACATCATTGTAGCTTCATCATCCCCTTGGATACTTGGATATAGGATAATTATAGCTATAATATATATACATATATATGTATATATATAATTATATATACAATTGTACATCGTTGTACATGATTGATAGGACAAAATCATACAAAATCCACGCCTGTCATTCCTTGATCTCAGCACTTATCAACATCTCCATGCCGCGCAGCCAAGTGCAGCCAGCCTGATTCTTTCCACTGCACCTGGGCCTCAGTGCCACGAAGCATCGCATCTACCGCATTGTCACTGGTTTAGAACATGGGGGTTTCCATAAATGGGCGTACCCCAATAGCTGGATGGTTTATTATGGAAAATCCTATGAAATTGGATGATTTAGGGATATATATCACCATTTTAGGAAACCTCCACATGAGTTTCCAGCGTTCCCCATATTTTGATGGCAAATTAAATTGGTACCAGTTGGCAGCCCATCTCCTGGGAAACCCAGCGGCTCAGATCCACGGCATCATCATATGCCACATGCATCTCCACCCAGGGAAATAACCTGGTTTCGTTGCGAACAGCGCAACGAAGTGTGTCAAAGAACTTAGTGACCTGGTCGTTTCAGTCCAAACCTTCCGTTCTTCAGTTCTGGCGATCAGTTCTTGAGCACGGGTTTCTGGACATGTTTAAGTTGTCGATAAGTTTATTATCCTTTTTGCTTATTTTTGGTTTGTAGTGCAAAAATACATTCAATCTGCACGATAAGGACATATTTTCAGGGCAAGCTAAATTGACCCGTGCTGCACACGATGACAAGGCATCAGTAACAGCAGAGAAGTCAATGGTTTGAAGCCTTGATGTATAATAAATAATGAATATAATAACCATCTGTTCTTTGAATTGACAGTTGAACAGAAACTCTACCTTCATGAGGGCTGAGGAATAACTTGCCTCGTTCTGTGATTTTGGGCTGCTATCTCTGAGACTGACAAAGGTGGGGATAAGTTTGCCTCAAACACCTGTATTGTATAACCAAGGGAATCTGCGTCCTCAAATTGAGGCTACTCCAAATTTGACTTTCCATAGCCCACGTGTTTTTGGGATGTTTGGGGGGTTGCCAATGCTTAGAAACAACAACAATATCTAAAATCCCAGTAATACATATAGCATATAGTAATACTATATATGTATCTCTATAGTATATATATATAAGCCATAAATATATATATATGCATCTCTGTATGTACACTGCAACCGAGCGACTGCAGGAATTGCAGCATGGCAAAAATGCTGGCTGTCTCTGGTGGGAAGGGCGTGTACAGCATAAGCACCTTGATTTGTCCAAAAACATCGGGAACTGACCCCCCCAATTCTTGAGCTAAACCGGGACATCCTTTAAAATTATGATCAAGCATCAAATGCTGAAATGCCCTAATTTTATAGGCAGCTGAAGATTCAGGACAGAATGAATTGTTCATTATACATATCAATATCATCCAATAATAATTGAGAATATTGCGATATCTATTATATAATGGTTACATATCAATATCAATATCACCAATATTCACCAATAGTTGAGAACATCTTGAGATATCCATAAATGGCGGGTAAAAGAACAGTTTTTGATGGGCAACTTTTCACCCAAAAAAAGTATCCAACTCTGCAAACGATCCTCAGGTACTGGCTCCGCGAACCTCTATGCAATCGCCTTGGCGCAAGGTGTGGCAAAGGCATGTCTGAAAATGGTGGATACACCACCCACAAGATGTCAGTTGTTTAGCGGGAACATGATAAGAGGTGAATTGAGTGATGTATATTTCCAACAAAGCCATATGATATCATATGATAGTTTGTGTGCAAATCTATAGAAGAACATATATATATATATGTAATATAATATATATATACAATTATACAATGGAAAGCATCATGATCAATCAAAGATCAACAACTTCCCAAATCACCTGACCCGGTATTGCTGGTAAGGTAGACAGTGACCATACAGCCAAACTCGGTCCCAACTTGGTCCCAGACATCCGCCCTCCGAAAATCCCTGCAGCAACTTTTCTGCAAGGAGCATCCTTGGCCGCCGGAAGGGCCCGCAGCATTCCACCAGGGTTGCTGCTGCTGGGGGAAAGGATTCCCATGTCCCAAAGATCACTATAGACATTCAAGATCATTAGATATGCATCCAAATTCCCATTGGCCACATTGAAGTCGTGATCTTTCAGGAACAGAGCATCGCTGACTGGAATTGGGACCATTTGTTTGGTCCAAATACAGGTACCATTGTGACCCTGGAAAACGCTGAGCATGGGACAACGCTCTTCGTTCCGCGTGATCTGGGCGCTTATCCTGTTCCTTGGCACCGCACGGGTTGAATTCCAAACATCCGATGTTGCTTCAGAACCTGTCAATTGTGTCACTGTCAAAAAGTACGAAGGATGCTCCTCATCCGCATCAACGTCTCCGAGTGTCAGTACTGGAGCTGAACTGAAGTAAGCCTTGAATTCTTCATGTTTCTTGAAGATCCGCACTCAAATCAGTCTTCTGGGATCAATTTTCGGGAGGCTCAGATTCCAGGAGTGCAACCTTACCCACTAATCCCATCCTCCATTCATATTAAACAGCCCCATAGTATGGTCCCAACGCTGCCAAGGCACCAAGGAGGGGAAAAGCTCCTCTGAAACCGTTGGACTCTTTGGCGCACGACCTGTGGAAACTTCCACAGTGGACTGGCCGTTGCATTAAAAACAGCTGATCTACTTATTAATTGAATGTAACATTATACATGATAATTGTGTGGTTTTATTAAGTTTTATAGTTAATAAATATTATATAATAGATTGATAATGCAGCATTCTTCTGAAGCCTTGACTTGCTGTGAAACCTGGAGCTATCAGGCTACCAGTTCAATGTCAAACTGGCATCAACCGCATACAGCACGGCTGACCTACAACCTCGCCGTCACATCGAAATTGCTCGAACTGGCGGCAGAACGGTTCTGGGAAAGATCGGTAGAGGAAGGAAACCAATGGCCACAGTGCCCTAAAAACTACTGCAAACACATGTTCACAGTGCTGGCATGGGTCCACAAACACATGTTGGCCGTAATTTCCCATTGTTCCACTCTCTTGTCACGTCGAAGAAAACCCAGAAAGCTTGACATCCAGCCGTCCGCCTGACTGGAAAGATCATAGGCCAACCACGCAAAGCTCCCGGGACCTGGCAACTTCTTAGCGGGTCATCATAGGACCCCCTCAACAGATGATAGGAACCAATTAGTGGATAATCCATGGATAAGTAATGGACACTTCTGATATTTATCCACTCAGAAATCCATAGGAACCAATAAATGTTATCCTAATTGGTGGTTGACCTACCCCCGCTGCAAAAATATGAGTTCGTCAGATTGGATCATCATCCCAACTATTGGGGAAGTCATAAAACATGTTCCAGTCACCACCAACCAGGACATCTATATTGCATGATATCGGATCCAATGATCCAATGTGGATCCAATGGTTGGTTCCCACAGTGATGTCATCTTGGCTGTGCCTTGGGCTTCATTCCAGGAGCTCCATCTTCTCAGCATCGCCTGTTCTTAGCGGATAGATCCCAGAAAATGGTGAGATTTCATATGACTTCTATACTCAATATATATATATATAATTATATTTAATATATATAAATATAATTATATATATTTCGTATATATCAATATAGGGGATGGAATATGATGCAATCAGCTAAAATTGGGTTCATAGTAAGTCTTGGAACCACAATCATTGCAAAAAGATGATGTGATAATTGAGTCATTTAAAAAAGAAATGGAGGATTTATGAGGATTCATGAGGATTCCTCATTTCCGTCAACAATGGTTGCTCGCAACGTTTGGAGATCCCCTGCCCATGATGCGGCCTGCCGATGCACTGCTCGCGCTGCTTCCTGCCGCCTGAGGAAGTCCATCGGCTCAGCTCAGGGATGTTGGGGGTTGGATTCAGTTACATGCCAACGGACTGGACATCTACAGGGACAGTCATAACGAATACCACATCGGTATAGTCTCAACAATTCTTCCGCTTTCACTATGACTATGTTCGGCTGCCGACCATGCAGATTCACTTCCGTTTTCACCTCAGGACGCGTCTTCACAGACTGTGAACTATATACCAAAACAATCCAAAACACAATCATTAGCTTGTATCTGCATCTAATTCTATCATCTGAGGAGATGGCTGATGGTGTGAATACCCAGAGACCTGCGGGAAAACAGTCAGGGAACATGTGGGACTCACGGTCAAGTCACAACCAGCCCAACTCAGAAGGGGTATGAGATCTGCCACCTGAAAAATTGACCAATGCACTAGTGACTCAACAGACCATCCCAAAATACTGTTAGGTGTAGTCAGTCCCATACATCAGGCAACAAGCCAAAGATTCCCAAATAGAGCTCCAATCCAGTTCTAGAAATATTCGAACACATTGAACACATATCAATAAACATATCCAACATATATCAACATATCACAAAACATATTCATCTGAACCCCCTCCAACGCATGATTTTCCCATGCCCAGGATCTCCCACACACAGCACCTCAAGGCTTCAGTGGTGAAGAGCCCTAGGTCCTGCACCAGCGTCAGGCGCTGGGGGTTTTCATGGAAGGCCTCCAGGATTGGAAGCACCTCATGAGCTGCGAAAAACGTGTGGCTTTTTGGTATGGCTGGGGACTTCAACATGGGGGAATTGAATGATATGATGTTCATCATCCAAGATGATCAAGATCGGGATTTCAAGAACAACATCTGAGTTTTACTGCGCGCAATACTGATCAAAATGGTGGGTTTTCAGTGGTAAAAAATAGGGAGCAACGACAGAACAAAAGAACCACCAAAGATTGAAATATTTGAAATTTAACTGCCAACAAATATTGAAGTTCAGAACCTTAATGGACATACTGCAAACTACAAAATCGGGATTCGTTTCACCACCAGGAAGTTCCAGGCATGCATCTACCTTTTCGCCAGCGACATCGGATCAAATGAAAATAAATTACTGTATAATGCAAACCAAATTAACCATCAAATAATCATCAAAATTTCTTGACATTTCTTGAGTCCTTGGGCTGTGTTTTTTTGATGTGTATTGGCATCGGTGCGGAAAGCCAAGGGTTTCTTCGGTTTTTGCCATGTTTTCATCCCTGCCACCCCTGCCATTCGTTGCCAAGGTTCCCCCAAGCGCCGCACCGCTGCGTCCAGATCCGCGCGGCCACCACCGGTGCGCTGCAGCAAGCTGCCCAGACGCAACACAGCGGCCACGGCCCTGCGGTGTGGCCACTGGTTGTGGGTTGATATGTTCTGTGAAATGGCAGTGTGTCAAAACCTTGTACCCCTGGTGAACATCAAAATAGCTGGTAAATGGATGTTCATCCCACTAACAATGGTATTAATAGGTATTGATCCATACCCAAATCACTGTGTAACCCATTTTTTGTTGGATGTTTGGAACTATTTTTTAGCTCCAAGTCGGTTGCACATCATTTTCCGTCAGGGAACGTTTCATTGCGAGTGGTAACTCTCCGGCTGCACACCTGGGATGTGCCGCTGGCAGCAGCCACCTCTCCGCATGCTGCTGCAGGGAGTTTGGATCTGGGGAGGCCAGGAACTCGGCGTAGGCCACGGCCTGGAGATAGCGAGACAGGGAATGCGGGCAATTGGGTTTGTTTTTCTTTTCCATCATGTCTATTCTGGAACAATCTGAAACCTTGTTTTGTTCATCATCTTTCCAGATGAGTACAATATCTAGATGGAATAGACCAATCTGATGGTTTTTTATTTGAGAATTTACTCATCCAAGATGTCTTGGTTTTTCGTATACCCCGTTCCATCCAATGTTCAATCACCCTTTGGAAACTGCCATCAGCAGCGCCTCCTGTGCATCCTTCAGCTGTCTTTCCAACTCTTCAAAGGTCTGGAAGCCGCAGAGTGGTTGGGGTCTCTACTTGGAGGGTCCATGGTGGTGTCATTTCAAAGGTTAGCTGCTACCGCTTTTCCAAGTGTGGCAATGAATTTCCGGTGAAAACGAAAGCTTTGCTGAAAGTAGAGACTTGATTTCAACAGAATGTTTGACACCAAAAGCCAAACAACTCAGTTTCAGGAGGCCGATATCAATCACATACCTCCTCCAGAGCAATCACATACCTCCTCCAGAAAGGTTGTTTGTGTTTGATTCCTCACTGAAAACCAAGTGGTATGCCATCCTGCCCGCAGATCTCTTGCCCACCCAGACATTCAAAGTTTACTTCGATCCAACGCCCAGCATGGTCCTCTTCGACCTCCTTGGGATTTTGTTCTTTCTTTGCCAGCTTCTGCCGGACAGCTTCGATCTCCTTGGGCACCCACTGAAATCAAGCAATGATGGAAGCTGACACCAGATGCATGGAGAGTCTTTTGGTTACCCTCTGGTTATTTAACATAGCCATGGAACATCACCATCTTTAATAATAGGTAAATCAACTATAAATGAACCGTTTTCCATGGCTATGTTAGTCATAACCAGAGGGTAATTGGTTCAACATCGATCCATCCGGTGTTTCTCCGTCCTTCCGGTCCCGATCGCAAGAGCTATCCATATCCAGACCTCAGATGCTGGGGATCGACCCAGATCTCAGCCGATATGCCACTGGGATCGTTCCGGAGATGGGTAAATGCCCAGAGTAGCTGCAAAGAGTTTCTAAATGCGATAGACATAGTATCAGTATGTATCAATATATATATAGTATTTCATACAGCCTACATGAGCCTACTATAGTATATTATAGTATGATATAGTATATATACTTTTATATATCACAAGGGATGGGATTTTCCATGTGATCCATCGCCACCCAACCTGCCAACCTGCCAACGTCGCCCAGTTGCCCTTCTTCCGGAGATCCAGCAGAAGGGTCCAAACACGCTCCAGGGGCTGTTGCGTCGCCTGGCCGAGGCTGCCGAGGCGGGTGGGACGACTATCTAAACCAGATCCTGACAGCTTTGGATGTCCTATCTAAACCTGTTACAAAAACCTGTTGAATATTTGGATATCAAATGATATCAGTACAATAGAATGTTTGGGACACCTGAGACCTGTTTGCAAAAAGACTTGTTACAAGAAACCTCTTCTATCGAACTGCAGGATTATTTTGTTGAATACAATGACTGAACGTACCTTTTTCCTCGCATTTGCCACATTCTCCATCATCTGCGGCCAAATTGAAGTGTCGAATGGATCAGATGATGTTCAGCTTGCCAAAGCCCACCCAAGAAACATACAACGTCCATTCCATGTGTCGACACGTCTTTCCTGGCTTTGTCTGGGAATATACCCCCAATCCATTAAGGTTAAGCCTCATCATTTATGATCCCCATCAAATATTGGGTTAGTTATGATCCCATCAGGATGGTTAAAAATCCCCTCAAATCTGGGTTATGATCCCAATATACCCTCTGGTAATTTAACATAACTATGGAAAATCACTATTTTAATGGGTATATCCACTATTTCTATGGCCATTTTCAATGGCTTTTTGTATGTTTACCAGAGGGTAAGCCCCATCAACTGTGGTGATTTTCGTGGTTCATCACCAGACCCATGGAAATCCTCGCCTCGCAGACCTGCAGGGCCGCCAGGTAGTCCGGAACATCTGGCCGCCACTCCGGATGATCCTGACACCCTTAGGACTCAGCATAAAAAACCACCAATAGAACTGCAATAAAAATAATTGGGTATTCTAATTTATTGCAGTTCTATTGGTGGTTTTTTAATAGATCATAAAAATACTCAGATAATATTTTCTATTCTATAGGTGGTATCAATCTATACCCACTGACACCATTGGATACCAATGATTTATAAGAATACATTACTAGCCAATAATAATTACAGATGCCAATTGAATTGATAGGAATATCTGTATTACTACTACTGTCTAGTACTATCATGGTTGTAGTTTTCCTATCATTTTCTATTAGATAATTTGACTGTCTAGTACTGCTACTATCGATACAAGCTCCTCGTGGCGCTGTGGGTATGTCAGCGACAGGTCATCTGCCTGATCCGATGCTAGGTGGGGGAGTTCACATGGGATTATCATCAGTTTTAAAAGTGAGATAGTAAACTAACAAAAGTGAGATTTAAGGTCATCATATGTCATATTAACTGACATATAAGTGATCTAACTCACCAAAATAGGGTTTTTTCAGTATAAGACACCACATATGATTTAACTGGCAATTTTTGGGAATTACGTGACACACATGAAATGAACAAAAACAATAATTGGATTTTAGCAACACAACTGGGCTGGCATGGGACTTAAGTAACTTAAGTAACATATGGGGAACTAAATATTACACACATGTAGGGTTTTTTCTCAGAAACATTGGGGGATAAAACCATCCTGCCAATGGAAATCCCTTGGGGAAGCTCCACACCTTCTCTGCCCGGCTGGTTTCGCCAAAATCCTCCGGGTCCGGCACGGGACCGGCAGTTAGACTACGGACGATTGCCTAACCTTCACCATGATCCAATGGATGATTTTGGATAACATCTCAGATTTGGCATGAAAGACTCAACACTTTGCGTCTGCAAACAGATTTGTGCTGCTCTGCTATGAAAGCGGTTCTACATTCAAGCAGTCATGTCTCATATAGTGGGTAGTTGCACCCAAGAGACAAAGTAACTTGCTACTGTGAGATGGACCCCCCCAAAAAACGACTACCCTCTGGTTATGACAAACAGTTCGCCATGGTATAGATGACCCTAATCGAAATAGATGGTTTACCGTTTTTAATAGCATGGTGGATCTTTCCATGGCTAAGTATGGCATCTCCATTTTTCATGTATCCAACAGATTCCAACATTGTGGGACAACTAAATGGGATTATATATGGATTATCATTGGGATTATATACTAAAAACATTGGGATCATTATATTAAGACTCCAATGATCCCAATAATGCTTAGGTATAGTTTAATTTAGACATTGATATCCCTTAAGTTAAACTCATATTCTAAAATACAGTACATCCAGGTACATCCCAACATGCCCCAAACCTCAAAGTCTTCCAGCCACTTCAAGGCATCTAGCTCCTTCGCAGCAGGTTCGGTAGAGATCCAGACTCAAATCTTAAAATCATCAATCAATTGAATAGTTGAATATCTACATTGTCTACATGAACGGTTAACATCCATGAACTATTAATTGACTCTTCACTATTCACAACTAGTAACCATTAACTTATTAACTATCAAGGTGTTCCTGTTGAATCTCATATCATAACATATTTGTTGTGAACTGCTCGATTCCTCGTCATTTTTGTTTTTGAATAAGTCTATGATGAAAGTTTGGGAGTATCAGGACTGCCTGATTCCAGCCGGTCCTTTCCAGGGCAGAACGCGCATCGCCGTAGAGCTTTCTGGTATGCTTGAGCAAGCCTTTTCCGCGCCTCCGGCTGCATCTTGGATTCGCTCACTGTCACATCCACTTTACGAATTGAAGCCCTCCACATTCTGATTTCTACCCCCTGCTAGTGACTGTGAAATATCCATCATTCATTGACATCCCCATTTTCCGTCATTTTTCTGGCTTACAGTCACAGTACATCCCCATTTTGGCCGGTGAAATGCCACTTTTCCCCCTGAAAATCCACCACGCTGGGGCCGCAGCCTCCTTGTGCTCCTTCTCTTTGGGCCGGTGCCCGTTGTCCCCGTTCTCCTCCATGGCCAGCAGGGCGGACTGAGCCGACTGTACGGCATCGGCGGCCTCCGGAGGTGTCACTGATGGTTTCAGGATGGGTGTTGGATGGGGATTTCACCAAGAATAGTGGTAGTACAATGGTGATATAATGAAAAATGAATGAACAATGAATGAAAAATGAATGAACAATGAATGAAAAATGAATGAACAATGAATGGACACGTTGGTTTACCCTCAGCGCTAACAGCAACTGGAAATCCACCATTTAGTTCCATGATTTTCCTGTTAGAACCTTCATTTATAGAGGATTTCGATTGCCACATTTGATTACTGGGGATACCAACAAAAAACTGGGAAGATTTATATACCAACAACATGTGGGATGATAAGGATATATTCCCAACCAAGCTGGGGATTCTTTTTGCCCAACGAAGAATATTCCCCACCCAAACTGGTGCTATTGTTTTTCAAGAAATCGTTTGGGTTAACACCATCTAGAAAAATCAATTATTTGATATTTGATGGACCAATCGCTAACATGGATTTATGTCTTTGTTTGGCTGCTTAGTTATAGTTATGGTGCAAATATATCTGCAAAGATTACTAAACCGGAATATGATGGGTATAACTATAACAATATCCTTTAAGAAACCATGGGGAGGTTAACCGTGGGAATATAACCAGCGAAAATGAAAACATTGAGCAAGAAATCATTGGAATATCAGGAAGGAAATTATGGGGTTGTAACCAGCAAAAGTAATACCAACCGGTAATCAAACATGCTTGGCTAAAACACGAAAGAAACTTGGATTGTTCCATGGCCATGTTTGACTACCAAAGGGTACCAAAGTTCACAGGAAGATTAACCAACAATGATAAGGCTCATCCAGAATACCCGACTTTGTGTTTTTCGTTCTCCATCAAAATGGGTGACAATTTATCCAACGCAAGGTTTATCCAGGTTCTGTTGGGAGAGTTCAGCTGTCATGATATTTGAATTATCATTCTCTGGATGCCTTGGGGTGACCAAATACAGTCATGTTACAGTAAAGCAATAATAGGATCCATCCCTAAATTTACCATGGGTGGGTTTGATATCATCAAAATAACATGGGTGGTGTGCTATTGCTTTACATCCATTGATGGTTTCAATTAATTTTGATGATTTTAATGATTTGATTAGTGCTTTTACTAATACAAACCACCCATTGATGGGTAAAACAATAACATACAATAACATTACTGGCGTAATATTGCTGAACTCCCAGATTTTCTACACTCCATCGCACCTCCTGCACCTCCATCAGGCTTGGCTGGGGCCGATCTGGCCTCTGGCGCCCACGCGCCTGGAAGAGATTTGACGTGTACAAAAGGTGAAGAAAATGCCTATCTTAAGGGCAAAACCTGTCGAAAGGATAATCATGGAGACAAGGATGAGGATGGAGATAAGGATGATGATGAGGATAAGGCTGAGGATAAGGATGATGATAAGGATGAAGATGAGGATCAGGATGAAGATTGCATTGATGGTGAATAAGGATGATGGGAATAATGGGCACAGTAATGGTGGCAAAGATCACGATCATGATGGTGCTGCTGGGGAGACATTGATCGCAAGTCTGATGGGCCGGCATCGCCGTACACAATCATACACATGGTCCATCCAAGCACTCCTACCTGTAGTATGTCGAAGATTTCACAAGTCTTAATCCCACCTGTGCCTATCAAATTTGATTCCATCTTCCAAGTCATTACCATTCAACTTCCATCCCCTCAATTTGTGCTCATAGTAAGTAAGAATCTCCAATAAAACCAGGTAGATCAGCCTCCAACCCGCAACGGCCCCACCTTGTGCTCTGCCTCCACCAGCAGAGCTGCCGCCCCACCGCCCTCGGGCGTCGTTCGCGGGCGACTCACAGGCCGCTCCGGCGGCGCCCGCAGCGCCTGCGCTGCGTGCGCCGAGGCCGGAGCGGAAGCTGCCCGCAGGGGTCGCTCGGGCTCCTGCGAACCGACCAGCGATGCCTTTAACCATGGATGGATGGAAAAATAGGAGTTGGAATCCTGGTATATCAAAGTCGTACCCTGAATTTCTTTGAGTAGTTGTGGCTACACCTTACAGAAACTTGAGGGATGCATATAGAGGTCGATTGCTGCATCTTGCGGCCTTTTTCATCTTTTTCACTAAAGTGTTTCAGCGCAAATCTGACCACTGTCATGGTTCTCATCACAAGGATGGCAGAACCATGTGGCCAAAACGTATCTGGGAAGTTTTCCCCAGTGGCTAACCTCAGGGAAAGAAGGCGATGGTGAGGGATCCCGTTGCCACAGCCCTCTGACACTTCATCACTCACAAATTCTTTCAAATTCCAGGTTAAGTCCCACAATCTTGGGAGGTTGCAGCCCGAAAGTGTATTATTCACCACCCAGACATGGAAGCTTAAAAAAAAACATGGGGTATGTCAGGGGATTAAGCGGAAAGTGGCTGAATGTGGGAAGGTGTCGTCAATGACCATGGACTTCCCCTCGATCCACAAACTCTGCGCGCTCCCCACGCTGATGCCTGCGGCACCGCAGCTGTTCATCAGAAGTTGGGACCAAGGCTGGACTCAACCGATGAAAGAAGAAATTCGTGCCCTTGACGTCAAAACTTATAGGACCATTGTAAATATCTTCACGAGCATCCATGTAATATCACAGATCATCTGAGTGAATGAGGACTTTAAGGATTTCACACGTCATCTTGAACTGTGTTGCAGCTAAAACGATGTGTTTCCATCGGCCAACGCCACCTGATCGCAGGGGTTCCGGAGCAATCACCGCCAAATGGGCGGTGAGTCGTGGCGCATTGCCGAAGTGCGGCTTCCTGGGTGTCCAGTCGGATGGGGAGGATCCCTGCCATCACTGCGCTGATCAAATGTGGCTGCATGTTGCGTCAGTTTAACGACCTCCTTTGCAACCAAGGGGCAAATGAGCACCTGCAGGAGCAAAATGAGTTGTTAGGTTGCTAGATGTTGTTGTTGAAGGAAACAAACAGCAAGTTTGCATGATACTGTTGTAGAGTCCTGGTCCCTCTTGGAACAAGTATACTCATCAACCCAGCAATTCAGTCTTCGTAGTTGAATCAGACAATTGGGAACAATCACAAGGCCCATCAAAAGACTGCATCTTGAGATCCATCAGTCCATCATCATCTGACTCTACCCAGCAGGGTCAAGTGTGGGTGGCCTGGAAAAAGCTTGTAGTAGTTGGTATTCACCTCACCACCAAACAGGCACACCATTTTGGACTGGACTGCTCAACAGCAGCAGCCAAACTGGGGAAAAGACATATGGACAATTCACCAACCTCAGTACCAGGAAGCATGGGGGAACGGCAGGATGATCGGATAGGTGCTCAGCTAAGGTGGATCTACTGATCCTACACTCAAAAGAGGTGCGGGATGATCAACATCATCCAGCCATTGTCCTTTGAAGCACTATACGAGCAACCATGGGTTCTTGGCGATGTTTAAACTACCCATATTCTATGTTCGTTTCACCTATGACCAAGAGCCATTTTTTTTTTGCTGGTGGTGTTTTAAAAATATCCGCACTTCATGGGAACATTCACCAGTTTACCAAGCCCGACATTGGTCATCACCGATCCCCCACCAGACGAGCATCTCCTTCCGAGTTCGTAGCAATGCGCAAGTCTTTGGCGCAAAGGTACAGAAGGCTTCGTTCCAATCGCCATAGCCTCGCTGGGTGGTGATGATTGGTTGAAACTGTACCTAGGATAGATGCTCAGACACCAGCTGAGAATTTGGGATGTTGAACTGTTGAACCATCTGTTCTTTTTTTTTGCGAATCTGGTTGAGATTGAGATGGTCTGGATCTGTCTCTCATCACGTCTTTCAATTCACGCCTCCCTTCTTAGCAGCTCAAATCTGCTGAGGAAAAAAATAAACCATCCCAATAACCACCCATGACTGGAGGTCATAGATCATCCTATTGCTAGGGGTATACCCCACAACAAACCTCTATGTCTATAGGGGATGGTGTGTTCATTATTGGGTTTACCACATTAACCAAGGAATAACACACTCATATATATACCATTGGTGGTTAGTTAAATCCCGATTATCATTGTTTAAATCCCTCATTTTGTTCCGTTGTTATCAGTTAATGATTTTAATAACCACTATTAACATCTACTAATTATATGAACGGAAATTACTAACAAATATTAACCATACTACTAACCACTATTAACCACTATTATCAACCATTAATAACCACTATTAACATCTATTAATTATATGAACGGAAATTACTAACAAATATTAACCATACTACTAACCACTATTAACCACTATTATCATCTGTTAGTGCCCCACTATGAATGCCCTAGCTTGATGCTGGTTTCACATTCTGAGCCGCCCACGCACGATGCGAATGGCGTCCCATCCACCAGGTGTGGACAAGGATTCCACCGACACATCTGCGCGACGAATGGCTTCATAACCTGAGTTCTGCACACGTCAGCAGCTATGGATCAAAACTATCTGGTGAACTGGTGAAGATATAAGCAACTGTGGTAACTATGGGTCAAAATAACTGTACCCGAGAAAAACATGAAAATCGTCCAGCACTTCAAGTATTTATAATCCCTTTCTCCTGTAAACAACTACCAAAAGAGAGACAGTACAAACAATCCCTCAGCTTCTGAATTCCTGCATGCTTGCTGTGTTTACAGCATTCTCTTCATGTTCCGTTCTCATCACATGGTTGGCACTTTCGTATCTTTAATTCTTAACTTTTATTATATATAGAATCACATCATGTTCATCAATAATGTTGTCTAACCAATAGTGATATCTTGTCAATAGTAGAAACATTTTTCCGCAACTACAATTTTTCTCCAATACTAAAAGTCAATTAGCTCTATTTACTTTTAGTATTGCTAAAAGAGTCATGTTCAGACCTTGTCCAGAGGGCATGGCCAATAGTGGGCCCAACATGGAAATAGTGGAGACTTTTTTCCCAACTCCAATTTTTTCTCCAATACTAAAAGTCAATTAGCTCCATTTACTTTTAGTATTGCCAAAAGAGTCAAGTAAAGCAAATCCTTTTCAAAGCAGCCTTCACTTTTGATTAGCAAAAGCTTAGATTCCAATTACTAAACAGCTGATTTCCTTATAAAACCCTTATTAAAAAAAGCAAGAAAACAGGTCCACAAAGGGTACCCCCTTTGCAAGCCCCAGAATAGCAATAACAAACCTGCACCAGGCATTGCAATAGTGGAAACTTGTTTCCGCAACTCCAATTTTGTTGTCCTCCTTCTCCTTCTCCTTCTTCTCCTTCTTCTCCTCCTCCTCGTCCTCCTCCTTCGCCTCCACCACCTCTGCCCCCACTTCCATGTCCACTTCCACCTTGCCAACTCTTCGCCAATCTCTCAGAAACCCAACCAAATCCATTCAGAATCTATCAGAAACCCAACAAAACCATGGAGAATCTATCAGATACATATCATGATCCCAGCTATAGATTCCCAAAAATTATCATAGGAAGGTTGACCCCCCCCTAAAATAAGAAATAAAATAAACAAATTATGGGGGTGGTAATTACTATTAGGCAGCCAACATTAATCATTAAACCACAATTTCACAGAATCTCTCCCCAATTCCAATGGGCAAATGGATCCCCCCAACCATCACATCCAGGGGGCCATCTTCTACGTCACCTGCATTGATGATGGCTTCCAACTCAGCGCGGAAAGTGGCATAGTGCTCTTCCTGGTGGATGACCAGGGAGTGGGAAGTGCATGGCAGTTGGCAAAACAAAACCCCAGAGAAATGGAAAACATGTAGCACAATGATTTACTGAAAAATGTTGGATATATATATATATATATCAATCTATCATAATTTTTGCGTGCAGGCTACTTCTTCCAACTTCCAACTTCCATCACTCAATCTTCCTCTGTGACTCAATCGGCAGTGGAACCATAGTGCAGCCCAGGTGCTAGAAAAACAGCAAGAGGAACTTTGCTTGCATTCCAAATCGGCTTTGAAATAATGTCCTTAGTAAGAACATTAAGCAACATGGTACCGACGTTTTTAATTCTAGAAATATATGGCAGTGTGTCAAAACCTTGGACCCCTGGTGAACATCAAAATAGCTGGTAAATGGATGTTCATCCACCTAAAAATGGTATTATATAATAGGTATTGATCCATACCCATATAACACATGATCTGCGAAGCATCTTTTGAGTCAAGTCTCGGGATACCGAAACCTCAGCCCATGCCGGTTGAACTGCATCAAAAGTAGGTGTTTTCAGGTCGAATTTTGGACAGATACCTGTTAGGATCCCCCTTCAAAGAATTTTGTGAACCCACATTGGTTTCAGCAGTGGTTCCAGTACCACCAACAACTCTGGAGAAAAGAGGAAAATGTATTGGAAATGCATTTCCCGACTGGATTGCTTTCAAGAAGTGGTCAAGACACAACAGAACAAATCAAAGTCACTCCGCATCACCCCATGTGAGCCTCAAGATTGGGGATCGGAGATGATCGACGTCCAAGTCACTGGTTGAAATTGATATCAAACGCTGATGTCCACGTCTTTGCAGCTTCAGCGAATCGCGGAACTGTCTTCAAGTACCTGAGGACAACACAGCCAGCTTAGGAATGGCCGGGTGGCCCATGCAACACTTCGAAGGCTCTTTGTGAAGTCGATACACCAACAGCCAGGGTCATTTTGCACTAATCATCCCCATCTTGGATCATCTGCCCCCCAAGAGTCGGTTATATTTACTGAAGTTCGGAGCCGCGGTGCGACAACAACTGTTGACCTTGTTCATGAAATTCGTTGTATCCGCGGCCCTCACTCTGAGCCAACCATGTGTACAACATCGCTGCGTGACCTGAGAAACGTCGGATGTTAGACAGCGATTCCCAAATGTTGTTTCATTAGTAATTGCAAGTTCAACACATTACAGCAAATGTTTGGATCTTGTTGGCAAGCCAAAAACTTGGATATACACTGTAAATGCTGGAGAATCAATTGATATCAATTGAGACTCCGACTATCTCCGACTACTAGTGACTACTCATCTACCAGCATTGATTCACTAGTATAATCTATACTCATTTACTAATCTACAAGGCAGGTTCAGAATCCCCTATGGCCCGATGGTAAGCCACATGGAGGTGGAACACCTGGAGCCAAGACGCCAAAGCGTACATCACAGGCCAGGTACAGCCAGTGATCTGAGGGAAGATCCCTGGAGCCTGAGAAGGGGCTGGATTTCAGGATGCAAAAATGGCACTTTTTTGTGTAGAGACTGGCGAAACATGATATGAAATATAATCAGCAAACATGCAGATTTACCATAAGATGCAGTCGAGAGACAACCTGCATAGTTGATACTCACGTGAAACAACCTGAGATTCTGGGAACCAAACCATCAACTGATGGTTTGGTTTGAGGCTCAACCCTATGGTGGCGATTTTGTTGGCAAAAAGCCACTTAAAAATCCAACTTGGGAGCAAGGACACCATCCCGGTGGGTTTCAAGCTTTTCCTGCTGTTTTTCACCAACCAAACTCCTGATTTTGATGACCCATGCTCTGGTGAAGCCGAGCTCTATATAGGGCCATGTGGCTGAGCTGCCAAGATGACGTTTTGTCGCAGAATCTCACCGCTCCTCATCTGCGGGAAATCGCTCGCCAATTAGGTTCCCGGTTGGTTGGGGCTACACCTATCAGCTCATAGCTCTATTTGGGCCAACTTCGAATTGGGAGTGGATGAGAAAGTGAGCAGTATGAACACCCCATTGGCAAATTTCTTAGAATGGTTTTGCGAGGAAGAATTCCCATGATGGATTGTGATACTCCACAAGATCTTGGCTAGTATACAATAACACCCCTACATTACCCTCTGGTAAATTAACATAGCCATTGAAAATACCCCATTTACAGTTGATTTACCTATTAAAACTTGTGATTTTCCATAGCTATGTTAGTTTACCAGAGGGTATCATCAATTTTTCAACGAGTTGGAGGTCCATCTCATGACAGTCGGAGGTTTAAACTGCATTAAACTGCATTAAACGCCCTGGTAGCCTCCTCACTGGCCGCTCCAGCAATGGCTCCTGGCGAACCAGCCATACAAATAGAGCACTTGTGCTGCTGCCAGCGCCAAGGGCATCTCGTTGAAGGCCATCTCAGTGGACCCCAGAAGTGGAGATAAGGGCATCATCCATATATTATGGCTTGGGGTCAAAGTGGAGATCCCCAAAAAAAATGGATGTTTGCAGATATATGATATATGATGATATATGAAGATATATGCATAACAATGTATGAATATACTATATGTGGAACGTTTCATATACCAGTAGTACCGCACCAAGGCGGTGGCGGAAGTTTCAAAAATAGGAAACCTATAGGAGAGGTTGGTTGTTGTGAATCAGGGATGGCAAAGCGAATCCACTGATGGACCGAAAGGTGCTTGAGGTCTCCTCTCTGCCTCTCTCTTTCTCTGACTATCTACCTACCTATGTATCTATCTATCTATCTATCTAGCTATCTATCTCTCTCTTTCTCTCTTTCATCTAATTACCTATCTACCTATCTACCTATCTACCTATCTACCTATCTACATATCTACCTATCTATCTAACTATCTATCTATCTATCTATCTATCTATCTATCTCTCTCTCTTTCATCTGTCTATCTGTCTATCTGTCTATCTGTCTAGCTGTCTACCTGTCTATCTATCTATCTATCTATCCATCTATCCATCTGTCTATCTGTCTATCTGTCTATCTGTCTATCTGTCTATCTGTCTATCTGTCTACCTGTCTACCTGTCTATCTGTGGTGCAGTGTGATTCAGTGTATTGTAGTGTAGTGTAATGTAGTGTAGTGTAGTGGAGTGTAGTGGAATGTAGCGTAGTGTAGTGTAATGTAGCGTAGTGTAGTGTAATTTTGTGTAGTGGAGTGTAGTTGTGTAGTCGTAGTTGTAGTTGTAATGTAGTGGAGTGTAGTGTTGTGTAATGTAGTGAAGTGTAGTGGAAGGTAGTGTAGTGTAATGTAGTGTAGTGGAGTGTAGTGTAGTGTAGTGGAGTGTAGTGTAATGTAGTGTAGTGTAGTGTAGTGGAGTGTAGTGGAGTGTAGTGGAGTGTAGTTGTGTAGTTGTAGTTGTAGTGTTGTGGAGCGCAGCGTAGTGTAATGTAGTGTAGTGGATTGTAGTGTAATTTAATGTAGTGTAGTGTAGTGGAGCGTAGTGTAGTGTAATGTAGTGTAATGTTGTCTGACCAATAGTGATATCTTGTCAATAGTAGAAACATTTTTCCGCAACTCCAGTTTTATCTCCAATACTAAAAGTCAATTAGCTCTATTTACTTTTAGTATTGCCAAAAGAGTCATGTTCAGACCTTGTCCAGAGGGCATGGCCGATAGTGGACCCAACATGGCAATAGTAGAAACTTTTTTTCCAACTCCAATTTTTTCCCCAATACTAAAAGTCAATTAGCTCTATTTACTTTTAGTATTGCCAAAAGAGTCATGTTCCAGAGGGCATCCAGACAGATTCCCAAACCCCAACACTCAGACTTTTGTGCTCAGAGTGCTCAGAGAGGTGGCAGATGAGGTTCGATCAGAATGTCCAGCTGAGTCTTATGAGTTCTCAGCAGATCAGCTATGTTTCTCAGCTCCATCAGAACTGCATACAGCAGCAGCAGAAATGTCAGAGCTACATACAGACTCAGAGCCTCAGACCAGGTGAGGTAGCCAGAGCCCACCAGATAGTGCCACCAGAATGCCACCACAGGAATCCAGCAGAAGATGGGCAGCTTAGAGATCCAGTACAGAACCTCTTGCAGACCACTCAGAACAGGCTCCAGCAGCAAGGCAATCAGATAGCCAAGCCCCAGTGGCATGGCTGGTAGACAGATACAGGTTCAATTAGCAGATTGAAGCCAGAACAGCTATTCATCTGAGAAACTTCTCCAATTCCTATGCAGAATCTATCAGAAACCTCACCAAATCTTTCCAGAATCCAAGCAGAAAATCTCAGAAACTTCTCCAATTCCTATGCAGAATCTATCAGAAACTTCACCTAATCTTTCCAGAATCCAGGCAGAACATATCAGAAACTTCTCCAAATCCTATGCAGAATCTTGCAGAAACTTCACCAAATCTTCCAGAATCCAATCAGAACATGTCAGAAACTTCTCCAAATCCTATGCAGAATCTTGCAGAAACTTCACCAAATCTTCCAGAATCCAATCAGAACATGACAGAAACTTCTCCAAATCCTATGCAGAATCCATGCACTAGAAACTTAGCCAAATAGAGCCAGAGGCAGCCTGAGCTGTGCCATTTTCAACTGACAGCAGCAAGATCTGTCAGTACAGATGTGCAAAAAGCATGCATTGAAACAGATGCAGTGAAACACATGCAGTGAAGCAGGTTCAGATCTGCCAGCAGCAGCCAGAAGCAGCACCAGGCAGCTGCTGCAAAGGCTTCGCTCCCAGCAGCCAGAAGTAGCACCAGACAGCTGCTGCAGACCACGCTCCAGACCACTTTCCTGTGACAAAAGCTATTCAGAGTTGCAACAAAAACATGCTTCCCAGTCAGCACCAGCTTCTGCATCTTTTCTTTCTGATTCAGCACCTGCTTCAAAAACTTCACCGGTTTTCCAAACCTTTTTTTCATATCTCTCCAGAAAGAAGTCTCATCAGCATATTCTGGCAGAGCTGCTTCCAAAGAGTAAGCTATCTTCAACTGAGCAGCTATTGGGACTTCAATCTTTCTGCCCACATTCAGACTTCTGCCAACAGGTCTTCCACCAGACTTCTTGGCTTTCAGCTGTGCTTCCTGAACCTGTGCAGCAGCTGCATCAGAATCTTCCATAGCAGCTTCAACCTCAAAGTTCAAAGCCTTGACCAAAGAGTCTGGAGAAGAGTGAGGCAGACTCTCACCAGCTGAATTGGGAGAAGCAGAAGGCAGACTTTCACAGCTACTAGACTTCAACCTCTTCAGAGGAGGAGTCTTCAGATGTTCAGAAAAAACATCTCTGTAGATTTGTTCCATTCTAGGTGTCATCGGCCTTCCAGCAAACTTTCTGGTTGTTGCTACATCAAGTGCAGGCTTCAGAGCATCTGGGGCTTGGGGCTTCCAGAATCTTTTCAAAGTCGGCTGCACTGCTCTTCCTACTCAGCTGTCAGAAGAGAAGTAGAACAGAAACAGAAGAGATGAGGCTGCAAAGATCAAGGAAGCAAAGGAAATCCCACAAGAAAGGCCAGAAGCAATCAAGAGGAAGATACACAGAGAAAGTAAAATGGAATTGCACAAGAGAACATTGTTAATAAATAGCAATAATAAACCTGCACCAGGCATGGCAATAATGAATTCCAATGGTGCTTCCCCTGCTTTTGTTTTCAGATGTTTGGAGAAAGCAAAGTAAAGCAAAACCCTTTTCAAAGCAGCAAGCACTTTTCATTAACAAAAGCTTAGATTCCAGAAATCTGATCCAATTACCAAACAGCTGATTTCCTTATAAAACCCTTATTAAAAAAGCAAGAAAACAGGTCCACAAAGGGTATCCCCTTTACAAGCTCCAGAATAGCAATAATAAACCTGCACCAGGCATGGCAATAATGAATTCCAATGGTGCTTCCCCTGCTTTTGTTTTCAGATGTTTGGAGAAAGCAAAGTAAAGCAAAACCCTTTTCAAAGCAGCAAGCACTTTTCATTAACAAAAGCTTAGATTCCAGAAATCTGATCCAATTACCAAACAGCTGATTTCCTTATAAAACCCTTATTAAAAAAAGCAAGAAAACAGGTCCACAAAGGGTATCCCCTTTACAAGCCCCAGAATAGCAATAATAAACCTGCACCAGGCATGGCAATAATGAATTCCAATGGTGCTTCCCCTGCTTTTGTTTTCAGATGTTTGGAGAAAGCAAAGTAAAGCAAAACCCTTTTCAAAGCAGCAAGCACTTTTCATTAACAAAAGCTTAGATTCCAGAAATCTGATCCAATTACCAAACAGCTGATTTCCTTATAAAACCCTTATTTAAAAAAGCAAGAAAACAGGTCCACAAAGGGTATCCCCTTTACAAGCTCCAGAATAGCAATAATAAACCTGCACCAGGCATGGCAATAATGAATTCCAATGGTGCTTCCCCTGCTTTTGTTTTCAGATGTTTGGAGAAAGCAAAGTAAAGCAAAACCCTTTTCAAAGCAGCAAGCACTTTTCATTAACAAAAGCTTAGATTCCAGAAATCTGATCCAATTACCAAACAGCTGATTTCCTTATAAAACCCTTATTAAAAAAGCAAGAAAACAGGTCCACAAAGGGTATCTGTAGCGGGAGCACAGTGGATTGTATTGGGCTAATTCCCCTCCAATCCCGGTCGCCTAGAAGCCGTTGGGGTAGTTCAGGAAGTCAGCACCGCACGAACCACAAAGCGCACAGAGCGCTGTCTTTTCAATGACCACAGCGGTCAGATCAGCACCATTGGCCACATTGGATGGCTCACTAAAAGGGGCCCCTCCTGAGCCAAGACACCGGGGAACGTCCTTCGTGACTCAACGTCCTGACATGGCTGATGACAGTTGCACCAGTACAAAAAGGGCTCAGGCGTTGAGTCTCTGTACCAGGCTCAGGAGAGAAACCTAAAAACGATCCGACCTGAACTTCTGGTGATCCAGCAGTGATTGCGAGCTCATGCAAGTCGCCATGAAAAAGATCATAAGCATTGATTGCGAACTCACGCTGAAGGGCTCGATCTGAATGAAGTCCAGCACTGATTGCGAGCGCATGCTCCGCATAGTGCTCAAAGGATCCATTGGCAGTCAAAGGCACCGAAGCGTCGCCCAAGGCATCGTCGACCTTCTGGATCGCCGTCTTGCCAATCTTCCTGTTTCTTTTGGCAGCTATGAAGTTTGGATCATAAGCTACCGACCAGTGTCGGCTCTTCAGAAATTTCAAAAGACCAACTCTGCTGTCGCCTCGCTTCTTGGTGAAGGCATCAGCAAGATCATAATCTGAAGCAACCCATCTCAGATCGCAGTTCACCCTCTTCAGGTTATCACGCAGCTGGAAGGCTTGAAGAGCTGCACGCATGTTTGAAAGTCCAAGCAGCGGTGACTCGTTCACTTCAATGGCGTCGTAGCCACCTCTCGAGTCAGTGCAAAGAATTCCAGCTACCA